CTCGGCTACTTCCCCAGCTCCTCCCTCGATCCCCACGAAACCTACATCTCCCTCTCCGACCCCCGTACTCTCTTCTCCTCTCTCCACCACGCGGAGCGCTCTCTCCGGGGCGCTCGACGCTTTTTCTCCCTCAAATCGCTCGCGGGTTTTGGTCTGTATAAATGCGATATTGAGCGCGGTGCGCACACGAAGATTGGGCTGAAGGAAGAGGAGAAAATGGTGTTGAGGAAGTTTTATGCGGCGTACAAGGTGAAGAGGAGGAGTATCCCGTGGTTTGGGAGGGGAGAGTGGGATGAGGATGTTGGGAGGGCGTGGTTGGGGTGGGTGGAGAAGAGTTTGAATGAGGGAAGTCATAGGAAGGATGGGAAGGGGGAGAGTGCAGAGAGGGCTAAAGGACCGTTGGAGGGGAGGTGGAGTTTGGAGTTGGTATATGATTGGTTAGTTGGGTTGTTTTTTCTTTCTTTGGTCCCTGGTTTTCATGGAAATTGAGATGAACAATGTTATATGATATGATGAGATACGATGCTAACATGTGAGCAAATTAACAGGTGTCCATATCGACTCAGCGCCGTAGTCATCACCCCGCTACTTCTCAGTCTCATAGTAGGAACTTGGTTCATGGCAGTAACCGGTGATGTAATCACAGCTTGGACATTGGCTTTGTATATTGTGACGGCAGCTGCGGCTATCGTTGCACTATTGGGTATTATTGGGAGTTTGAAGGATGTTTAAATATTGATTTATACTGCGGGGATATTAACCTGGTGTACATGTATTATACACCTTACTTTTTTGTTCTTGAATTGTTGCAATGGGAAACTCACATGGCTAGGGATTGTATGGGAAGTATTTCACTTGAAAGATTTGTAAAGTAATTATAATAAAGCTTTCTTCCTCTCTCGGAATGGAATCCCCTGAAGCTCATCTCAAAAGTTAAAATGACATTCAAACCCTTCCAAATCCTCACATACAATGAACCCAAAACTTACCCAGATCCCACTCCAAATCGAGTTCCGACACACAGCTTCTCCCTCACTCATTCATCCACTTGGCAAATTCCATTATCCTCTTGAAACCATGTGGATTTAGAACTATTGTATTATAAGACAATAGTTCAATTCATACTCCACTACTAAAAAGTTGTATTCAATATCCTCTCCTCGATTCCTCTAACAACATCACCATCGTAATCCGCGCTATAGTCCAGGATCAAGGAACTCCCTAAATCGAATCTTATCAATATCGTCAGTATTACCCAAAAGACTCCATAAGATTTCTCTCAAATATGCAGAATCGTGAAGAAAAATCGCCTTCGGTTAAGATTGTATATAATTCCCTGAGGGTTATCAACCGAAAAAAGAAAAGAAAAAACTTGGAGACAATAATAACGATTAATTCCACCCCTTTTACGGAGTACGCAATAAGTTTTCATTCACTTCACTATACTACACTCTCTCCCCTTTTCTTTTTTTTCCTTCGTTACTTCCCTCCTCTCTCTACTTCTACCATACCCTCGGGGAAAAAAACTTAAAAAATCGAAATTAAAAAATTATGTAACATCTCTCCTCCTTCCTCTAAAAAAAAGTCCTATTTACTTCACCCAATTCCCCTTTCCCACACAACAAAAAAGTTGCAAAAATAAAATGTAAGGCGACAAATAGCAAGTCCCAGTTTCGATCTGGGGACCTCCGGGTTATGAGCCCGGCGCGCTTCCACTGCGCCAACTTGCTTGTTTTTGTTGCTTGATTTGATGGACGGACGCTAGTTGTTTATGTATATATATGTTTGGTGTGGGTGGAAAAGAGGAGTGGAGTGGGGTGGATGTTAGTCATTGGTGCAGATGGGCGGGACCGAGAGGAGGGGCATTTTTATTAGACGACTTTGGAATTGGATGAATGATTTTTGTGTAGATATCTGAGGGTTGGTGTAAAAGTCATCAAAGGGAAGAAGACTTTCGAGATGAATTTCAAGAGTATTGAAAATAGGTACGGTATCATAATACCAAATATAGGTTCTTGTTCAGAATTCATTCCTTTTACACTTATCATTCTCAACAACTGAGATATATCTCATTATTACCACGCAAATTTCCCATCAACACTGACTTCACAATTCATTCCTTATTCCTGTCCTACTCTAATCATACTTCCCACTCAACTTTACCAATCCCTCTTTCTCATTCTCCTCCTTACTCTTCCTTGACCAAGCCGGAGCTTCATCCTTTCCCTCATCTTCCTCTTTATCACCTTGCTCCTTCGTTTCATGCACCGTAGTTGGCGCATGTTCTGCCGGTGAATAAATCGTATACAGAATCAACGGTTCTTTCCCTGTGTTTACAAATTGATGTTGAGTACCCGCTGGTACGACCATCAAATCTCCTTTTCTAACCTCTTGGTTTTTACCGTTGATGGTAGCGAGACCAGTGCCGGAAGTAAAGGTGAGAGCTTGGTCGACTGTGTGGACTTCGTCACCTATGTCGCCGCCGACGGGGATTGTCATGAGTACGACTTGGGAGTAAAGGCCTGTGAACTGGGGGAGTGTTAGTCTAGGTTTTGTGAGGTGGTGATAGGGAGAGGGTAAGGGGGAGAATAAAAGGAGAGGAGTAGTATGTTGCATTGGGATGGACGGCACACAGCTGGATGATACAATGTTGCGGGAAAGAAGGAATTTCTGGTGCACATACAAGTACTCTACGAAATTCATGGGAGGAAGCAGGAAGATCCGAGGTCATTTGAGGAAAGTAGACCATATCGTGGGAAGGGGGCGATGAATTTGGGGTTTTGGACGCCATATTGCGATTTTGAATACTCAATGGAGTTGGAATCTTGAATGAAGTTGTCTTTCTATACGTGGAGAGTAGACGGGGAGTATGTTTGGCGTTTTGACTTCCTTTAACAAGCAAATTGCGAATGGTTGGTGAAAGCATGATGGATTAGAATAAGGAACTGAGATGAGGAGCTTTATATCAATCTTTGGAGGCAAATGGATGATTTCTTTATGATGAAATTTATAACCCTTGGAATTGTCTGGATTCATCTCAGTGCTCTGTCTTGATGTCATTGATGTCATTGAATGATATTAGTTCAACTGCCAGGTGGTTGGTTCACCCCTCTTTCCTTTGTAATCAACTTGCAGAGGAAGGAGGAGATTCCTCTTGACAGTATCGAATGTAATGCCATGATATGTATAATACCAATCATCGGTGGTAAATCGGATGTTTTCAGAAATTGAATTGTAAGGATAGATTTCATGCCTTGACTGTTATTGTCTCAATATCTTAAGAGGATTCCTTGTTGTACGATATTGCTGTACATCATATTGCTGGTCCCAGCAAGTAAATAGAGATAGTAAACACATCCCGAGTGATGCCGAAGAATTTCCCCAGATTTCGGGCCCGGATTATCTTCCTCATTCAAATCCCGATCATGATCCGATCCTAGTCAATAATCTTTCTCAATCATTGATTCGATTTTATATCAACAGATAACTTTCCAATCACATAATGAATTCTTTACCACGAATGTCGAGAGCTCTGAGTAGCAAAAATGCCAATTGGATATGTACATCATGTGCGAAATCAAAGCGAACAAATACACCATTCTTCAAACCTTCAATAAGCAGAAGTATCTCCAATAATTCAACCCCTCGAGGAAATGTAGCACCAACGATGGAGCAATTGAGAGCGCCATTCTCACAAAAGAATAGTTCGACTATGTACTATACACTCAGCATTATTCTAGGGACTGTGGCCTTCTCATATGGCTCTGTGCCAATGTATAAAATGGTATATTTTATCACACGCCACTTCACTACTTCCTAGCTAACATATACCTCTCCAGATCTGCCAGACTACAGGATGGGGAGGGCAACCGATCAAAGCACCCGGACATGGCGGCAGTGGTGTAGAGGGAGAAGATCCATCCGAAAGACTTAGACCCGTCACTTCTGCAAAACGTATACGAGTAACCTTTAATGGTTCTGTTTCGGATGTTCTACCATGGAAATTCACACCACAACAGAGAGAAGTTCGGGTTTTACCAGGGGAAACGGCATTGGCATTCTACACTGCTACGAATAAATCTGATGAGGATATAATTGGGGTGGCAACATACAGTGTGACGCCTGGACAAGTGGCTCCATATTTTAGCAAGATTCAATGTTTTTGTTTCGAGGAGCAAAGGTTGAATGCTGGGGAAACGGTTGATATGCCAGTATTCTTCTACATCGATCCTGATTTTGTTAATGATCCGAATATGAGAGGGATTGAGCAGGTTACTCTGAGTTATACATTTTTCAGTAAGTTATTTTTTGATTCAAACATGAGGGTCAGAAAGATATTAACACATTCAACAGAGGCTAGATATGATAAGAATGGGCATCTGAAAGCTATGCCTGTTGGTATGTAAAAGAAGTATGAGATGTATTATATTCATTTGCATTGGGAGGAGCTAAAAGCTTTAGAGTATATGAATTCGGGTTGTTTGTATTACTACGGTTTAAGTATTTGCTGTAGTTTTGACTACTTGGATATCTATTCAGCTGTTCTACGATGTATTACTATAGTACAAGTAGCTACTATAGCTTAACTGTCTATTATCACTAACGCTTCTCTCTCTCTCTCTCTCTCCTGCCTTTTTGATACTATTTGACATTCTGTTTGTCGTCTCCCTTCTCCCTTCTTCCTTCTAGTTGGCATCCTAGACGCACCAATTGTCTCTTGCAGTATATGTGATGAGCATTGGCTTACCATAGATGATGATGAATGATAGAAGCTTCATGGAAAATCAGGCATTTAAACATGAATAGGAAAGCATTTCAAGATATGTCATAACTGATTCATTATTCACCATGTAAGTAGGTATCCATGTACTAGGTAGGTAGGTATCTATTAATCCATTCAAAATATAATTGTACCTAATAAATACTACCTACTAGGTCCACGGGTACTGGACACAAGTAGTTGAAGAATGAAGAGATTCACTCGCTAATTTGATAAGCAGAGTTATTAACCCACTAGTGACCAGTTAAACACCTTTAAACAACAAGCTTCAATTGAACCTCCACCTCTCCACCTCTCCACCACTCCACCACTCCCTACTTCATTAGCTCGGCCTTTCCTCGATTATATTGACTACAGTAACCTTAGCCTTCCTACACTTTACTAACAAGCTGTTCATTTACTTGGGGCTCCGAGAAAGTGTTCTTCTCTTCTTCAATATTGAAATTGATAACAGCAACAGCAACATCATTCTCCATATCTCTTTATCGGAATTCGTCTTCGTCTTCGATTTGGATTTCGTTCTTCATTCTCAAGTAGGTCAGTAATTCCTACGTCTGCCTAGTTCTTGGGTGATTAAAGGCCTACGCTCACTCTCCACGCAGCCAAGGAATCTTACCTTACCATTTCCATAACGGTCACCTGATAATTGTCACTCAAAATTGTCATCCAAACGATGGCCACGAAAAAGGCTGGTGAGGCTGGTGCAAACATCCGTCTTGATGATGATGATACGAAAACACATTCACCTCACATAACTCCTGCGCTATCTCGCTGTTCTTCTTCCTCTTCGAATACATCTTATAACATGGCCCACGCTCCGATTAGTGTGATTCAGGAAGCTGGTTCGGATCTGTTCGAAGAACGAAGTCATGTACAATATTTGAAACCATTTGAGGAAGAGATTCTCAAAATGGTCTTTCCCTTGGCACTAACCCCTGCAGTATCACCTATATCTCCTCCTTATAGCGATGAGGACTCATCAATTATAAAGGATAAACTAGAGTTTGTTGAGAAGAAGCATAAACCATTCATTACTACACCCCCTGAGATTGTCATGGGAATCTTCAAGTATCTTAATCCCATCGATGCAGTCTGCTTCAGTCTCTTGAAGTTTGTACTACCCAAAATCCATCGTATGATCATTCATTAACTTTTTATATAGTAAATATATTCGCAACGTCTATCTGTCACATGGTCGTCATCAAATTCTTGATTTCAACCCACCTCTTGCGATGGGTCGACCGGAGAGTACATTTCCCGTCATACCTGGGCCCCAACGTTCATGTCGTCACTGTTGTCCTGTCGCTTTCTTCCCAGCACATTGCGAATTGCATTTTCATCTCGCGAGTTTCATGCCATCACATCTTACCTTTTGCGCTGGACAATGTCAAATGTTCACGGAGCGTGAAGAGTCGGATCCGAATTATTGTGGAAGCTGTGGGAGAAATTACAGGAAACAGTTTGAGAGAGGCAGGAGAATGATCGATGTGAAGAGAGAAGATGGTCATACCTTTAAATGGTATGAGCAGCCAAGATTCGATAGGGAGAGTCGAGCGAGACAGGAACGTCGAGCAGCAAGAAGAGCGCAACAAGTACCTTCTTCTAACTCCTTGTAGAGTTAGAGCGACAATCGCCCTACAAACATAAAGACAAACACAACCTAGAGAAATGTAACGCACGCCAGATAATCTTCTTCCTCATATCGCCATTTCGTCATTGTCTCGAGTTGATGTGGCGGTTTGAATGAATCGATTCGAATAGTTGGGTGATAGTACGCTGTTGGAATGTTACAATCGGATAGATTTTCTTTACACCGATTCAGGATTACGAATATACGCATGATTGTTATTTGGATGGAGTTTTGAGATGGTAAAATAGGATACAGTACTATACCATTCGAGTTCATGACGCGCATGTGGATTTTTACGGATTGGGATACTGGGTAAATGAACGGGATAGGATATGATAGGATTCACGATACGCGCACAAGGGTCCACGGGATGAATTTGCTTCATGGATGGAGTTCTGAGATGAGATGAGATGAGATGCAAAATGGGATTTTATGGTAGTGGAAAGTTAAATGTTTTGATGATTTTCATTTGTATTGGGATGGCATTGCCTAGGTATGGATGGATTATGGGTACGGGTATGGGTATGGGTATGCATTTCTTATTTTTTTTACGGATATGATGGGATAGGATGGCATGGCGTTGAAATGGAGTGGAATGAAATGCTCGGACGGTGGTGGAACAAGAATCGTCAATGGCCGTGGGAAAGTATGAATATTGGCTTGAAGTTACTGGAATAGATATTTAGGGAGAGTAATGGTTGGAGGATAAAGAGACCCTGACCTAGGACCTAGTACTTAGTAGGATAGGTAGGTAGGTAGATGAATGTTAATTTAATTTTCTGAATGGTGCTTGGATTGTGGATTGGGAAGTATTTATAAGGATGTGTTTGTGTTTGTATTGAGGGCTCGGGGAGAGGATGTAGGAGTGAGTGAGTGAGTGAGTAAATGAGTAAATGAGTAAATGAATGAGTAAGTGAGTGAGTGAATCAGTAATAGTAAGTAAGTAAATAGATAAAGATTTATTGAGTATAAAGGTTTAAAGAAGATTTTAGGATTCATTAAGAAGTGTTGAGGTATAATATATAATATATAATATATAGTTTGTGATTTTCAGGAAGAAGAGGAGACCGATGAGTAGAAAAAGAGGAATTATCCCCTAGACTACCGGCTTAGGACACCTTAATTGGTCCGTACACGAGCTCAACCATCAATAATTCAATAAATAATATTATAATAAAAAGCCTTTATATTAAATTTGAAATTTGAAATTTATTAAGAAAATAATAATAAATATATCAAATATATATCTATGTTTTTTTTATTAAAAAATAATTATAAAATGATTTTAAAAGATATTATTATAAACAGTTGATAATTATTATAAAAACCTTAGATTTCGATAATGAGAATTCTCAAATTTCTGATGTTCTGATTGGTCAATAGAGCGAGGTGTCCTCTGTTGGCAGTCTAGGGGATAAGGAAGAAGAGGAGAACAATTATTAGAAGAAGGAAAAAATAAAAAAATAAAAAAGTACGGCGGTGGTTTTAAGAATAGAGATATTCATGGTTTCTTAGAGTTTGATTTTGATTTTGATTTTGATTTTGATTTTGATTTTGATTTTGATTTTGATTTTGATTTTGATTTTGATTTTGATTTTGATTTTGATTTTGATTTTGATTTTGATTTTGATTTTGATTTTGATTTTGATTTTGATTGTGATGAGAGGAAAGGGCATGAGATGGGATGGGATAGGATAGTATGTATAGGTAGGTATATATATATATTTATATATTACAAAGCGAGTGCAAGTATAAAAGAAGAGTTACTTACATGGGATGGGATGATACAATATTGAGTCTTTAGGGGTAGGTACGTAATTATTTTGTTGTGTGGAGATTATACTACACTAGGTATACTATACTATGCTATGCAACTATATGACTATGTTACTATTTCAATAAAACGACACTTCAATACCAATTCTAGTTCTTTGAACAACATGGTATTATGTAATGTAAATATACATCTTAGAGCGTCGCTATAAACCTAACAATGGTACTTTTCCCAATACTCCATACTCCTCATAAATATCAAGCATGTACAATCTTCCTTTCATTCTCCCAGGTCATCAAATTCTTTTTGATTCTCGATAGCCTACTCATCCATAGCAACTCACACAAACTTCTTCCTTTTGACATCCACTTGAGATTGACTTCTCTCAATAAATAGGATTCTCTCCAGTATATTAACCACGAACCATTGAATAGCCAAAATAAATATCCTCAAGATCAAATCACTCAATCCAAGTACAGGACGTTTACCTCGACTAAAGGTACTATCCTTAAACTCGAACGGAAGAGTAGCACCCAGATGATCCATTGCTACCTTGATTCCACTACTGAAGCCATCTTCATGAAATCCGTACTTGGTCCATGCTCCACAGTAAGATATGTTTCTTGTGTTTTGAATTTCCGGAAGTTGGGATTGAGAGGTTATAGCACGTGTATTATAGAGTGGATGACGATACGTATATGTACTGTGAGTGAGTTCTGGTTTTGGTGGAAACAAAGGATTAAGTGTGACGAGAACATCGCCAAATTTGGAGGTCGGGATATGCTGGAGAATATTCATGTTGTATGTTAGACAAACTTGGTCAACATTTCTAGTTTTCGAGGTTGAAGAAGTAGAAGAAGCAGTAATATAATTCCAAGCGGACCAAGCTTCTCTATTTTGAGGCATGAGAGAAAGATCGGAGTGAAGGACAGCTGTATTTTTCGAGGTTTGAAATCCAGTAAGAATGCGACGTTCGGTGGATGTGGAAGAAGATCGGACCAAATTATATGCGATATCTCCATGAGTAGCGATTATAACGTGATCGAATATCTCTTCCTTGCCATTCTCGAGACATAAGCGTATACGATTATCATCATCATTGCGTATTGATTCGACCGGTGTAGAAAGGAAAATGTGATTTGGTGGAAAGCCTTTCATTACGGCATCGATGTAGGTTTTCGCCCCATTCTTTACCGTTAACCAATCAGGGCGAGCAGCAACAGTACTTAATAGATGATGATTCCACCTAAGATTGTTAGTAATGTTCAAATAGACTATGCCCTTGATTTCGACCTACATAAATCGGACCAAAGTGACGGCTGGGAATTCCAGAGAGCACTTATCCGGACTTGTACTCCACACAGCTGCAGTCATTGGTATAAGATAGTCATCTCGAAATGCATCCGAATATCCTTCCCTATCCAAATATTGACCTATAGTTTCTTGTTTCTCTGCGTGATGAATGTTCTTTGAATTTCCATTTCCATTCCCATTCACATACCCGTTCACATATTCCTCGCTCTTCTCTTCCTCTTTCAATAAGTCCAACGCAAATTGATTAAAACGGATGATATCGAATATCATTCTCCACATCCTTAACGAGAAGAGGTTCTTTCGTTGTGCGAATACTGATGAGAGCGAGGTTCCTGACCATTCGAATAATCCCTTATCTCGAGAGACCCCAAAGGTCATTTCAGTACGTACGGTAGGAACATTGAGGGTATTCAGGAAAGCTATGAAATTCGCTATAATATGTTTGTCAGCTTATATGTTATATGGCCATGGTTGTTTGATAGTTCGGACTGCAGTCCAACAATCAGATGCTTCCAAATTCTCAATTCGATCAAGAGATCCAATTGATATGAAATACCGAGTCTATTTCAAATATTGGCTTGCTTTCTGGCATTGAAAACTTGCATCTAATCTGCCAGTCGGACTATTTGTAAATCCTTCGCGTGGCGCGGGATTGGGGAAGTAAATAACTTACGATAAGTAGCAGTATTCAAGACTATAAAGCCAGTATCAACGGGAGTTGTTTTGCCATTATGAGGATACTTGACGGTATTTGTATGACCTCCTAATCGATCCGCAGCTTCGTAAATGTAAACATCGTGGTGCGTTCGATTTAAAGCCCAAAGAGCCCCGATTCCAGCACAACCACTTCCGATGATAGCGACTTTCTTTCTAGGAAATCGATCAGTTAGGCCGGCGGACATGATTGTGAAGGAAGATACAAGATACAAGATACAAGATAGACAAGGAAAGGAAAGAGGTGAAAAAGGGAAGAAAAAAAAATAGACAATAATCAAGAAGATGTAAAAGAATGGAATATTCACATGTCAGTACTAAGCGGCTTCTCTTGAGTGGTGGCGGGGGTAGCTGCAGCTGAAGCAGTAGTGGTATTGGTATTGGAAATAGTGTGCTCGTAGCTCGGAGAACTAGTTGATGATGGCATTCTTTGAATGATTTCTTTTGTGTGAGTGTTGCGTTCAATTGACTTTTTTTGGTTGAAGTTTACTACACGAGTACGGAGTACTATTTGAGTGGTCTGTTATAAAGTTCGATATATATATTTAGATGTAGATGTAGATGTAGATATAAATATAAACATAGGCGTAGATGAAGAAGAAGAAGAAGAAGAAGATAGAGATAGAGATAGAGGTTTTAGGAAGGGAGAAGCGGAAGAATGATTTGTTATAGAACTTTGATGAAAAGACAAGTGGTTGTTAGTAAAGCAGATGGTCAGGTTTTTCTTTCCTTCCCTCTCTTCCTCTTCCTCCTCCTCATTCTCAATCTTCTCTTCTCTTCTCTTCTCTCTCGGAGCTAGTCCCCCTTCCTCCATCTGTGCTCAAGCTTCAATCCATACGATTACGATGCTGAAACTTGGTGGGATGGATGTGAAGATCAGAAAAAGATAGCAGGGGCTAAGGTTAAGCCAGGTACGAGGACGAGAGACGAGGATGAATACGGGATAGCTCGATACTAGATCGATACTATCCTACTATCTAGGTAGCTAGAGAGATCGAGAAGAATAGACAGATAGGTAGGTAGGTACGGAAACGGAGTATGCATTTGTAGCTTCAAAGGGCGAACCTCGGATGATCGGATTTTATTAACGCCGATGAATGGACAGGAACAAGTAGTAAGCTGAGGGCCTGAGGCAAGTATCCATCCCATCCATCTTGGAACAGGAATACCTACATAGACTAACATAGTATTAGAGAACATAGAACATCTACATAGATGGAACAAACCTTTCCATTGAATAAAAAAACCTATGACAAGTGGCACATCCATCACATCACATGACACTCGAGCCACATCCCTTATCTGAGCCACCCGTGGACAACTAAACTCCCCAAGGCTGACATTTAACCTAGTCTGGTAATGTTGTTTTAGACGTCGCAACTTCCAGTTTCCCATTCCTTTCCCCTTCCTTGAATTGTCAATGCATTAACAACAATAATCAAAACACAACTGTACATTATACATTACTCTACGATAAAGATAAAACTATTAACCTATCATCTATCATATTTCCCCCCTCTCCATCCCATGGTTTTGTGATACATACATACTCTCACACTCTCATACTCTTTGACTTTGAACCGGGGAAGGAAGGAAGTATTGCGTTGCTTGCTTGCTCAGTGTTACTTTACCACATTACGACGCCATCAGAAGGCACCGATCATCAATAATTATTCTTTGAAATAATCCAAATCTCCTTTTCGATACCCGTCACATTCATACCCGTTGATTCCATCACCTGCCGTTTTCAATCATGTCAAATCCTCTCGATACCGATGCAGGCTCGGAGCTCTTCAGCAGTTATGAAGCAGAGCTCAAACTCGTTCAAGCCGATTTAAATCAAAAGTTGGACCAAATCCCCGACCTTACTGGAGAACCTCGTAAAGCTGCCATAAGTCAAGCTGAGAGAGCATTAGAAGAGGCAAATGAATTGGTAGGCTCAAGGAATAAAATGTTTGCTATCTAGTACTTACTCTTATCTAGCTTGATCAAATGCGACTCGAGAAACAAAATATCCCTTCTGCAACTCGTACTAAAGTTAACCAACGATTTCGAAATCATGAATCAGATGTGGATGTATCAAAGAGGAAACTAAAGACTTTACAAAACGACCGATCAGCTCTATTTGGTTCACGCTATTCCGATAATCCAAACGATGTTCAACTCGAACAAAGACAACAACTGCTATCAGGAACTGACAGATTAGACCGAAGCTCGCAGAGATTAAAGGCCAGTCAAGCATTAGCCCATGAGACGGAGGCTATTGGTGCTAGTACGCTCGCAGATTTACATAGACAGAGAGAGACCATTCAACATACACATGACACATTGATACAGAGCGAGGGGTTCGTTGATAGAAGTGTAAAGACGTTGAGGGGGATGTCTCGTAGGTAAATCGTCCCTTGCTCCACTCATAACTGCCGGGGATGTCATGCTGACCACCCTCTTTTAGGATGGCTACCAACCGGATAATCACCGTGGCCATTATAACAGTCTTAGTTCTTCTTATCATTGCTGTTATTGTTAGCAAGTTCAGATAGACTTCTTGCATTTCGACAGGGGCGTTCTTTGGTGCTTGGTTCTCAGTTACACTTTGCCATAGGCTGATTTCTAATATAACTTTGTACAATTGGTTTACATCAAATGGTTTCAAATAGCAATTCGTGTAAAGGTAGGTTGATTGGTTTTAGTCAAGTTTTCGATGAGAAATCCCGAGTGCAGCTCGGTAGCGGTCCGAGATACAATATCAATCGCGTGGTTCGGGCAAGTGCATGGCATGTAGTTGAACCTCGCACTGGCACTTTGTGATGATACTTTCTTTGATCACTTCCCAATCCATTCTTGCCAACTCATTTGCATATTTTGCTGCAGTCAGCGAGTTTGCCTCTCTGTGTACATACTTTCTACATATCATGTTGAGTCTCTATCTATCGTTGTCGGGTGAGGTGAATACCGATGCAAATCTCCTCTGCATATCACGAGTCACAAACATATGGTCTAACGAATACCGTGCATTTAAGCATGTGCGGGCATCCATCTCAACTGTTCTGGGTGGGTACCAAATATCTGAGGATGAGAAATCATGGCACCACAGCTACATGTATATCCTTGTTTCATGTGGTCTATCTTACCAATTGGTATTGACAAAATGTCTTTACCCGTCATATTTTTCTTGTTACCGGTAATGTGTTGCACAGACAGGTCCCAAAGAAGCACTGAGAAGACTCCTCGCAACCATCTATGCATTTATGAGTACTACATGCTTACCAGCCAAGTACTTAGCCTACGCAAGACACTTTAACTTCTTATAATGCTAGATTGACATCGGAATACAACACGCCATGTAAACTACAACATCTACGCAAATTCCAATTGGGCTGCTCGTAAAGCGTGGAGATCTGTATGTCATCTGAAAGCCCCGCTCTCAAAAGATGGCTACTTGCTTTTGGACAAGGGGGAAATGTTGATGCTTCAATTTGTTGAGGCTGTTGTCCTCCATGTGACGGTGACGATGCTTAAGCATAGTATACAGTATGGTGTGCAGTCATGTCTTTATATCTTCTCCATTATCATCACTCTGCATTCCCCAATTCTTCTGCATTGCCATGCTCCGACTTTGATCGTTTGTCATTGATTCAATCCTTCTTTGAAAATGCTGTCCTCTGATATCAGTCGGTTTGACGTGGTAGCTATTCTTGGAACTTCAATTCTTATTTACTGCATCTTGGGCGTTATATATCGTCTTTACTTCCACCCGCTATCCAAATTTCCGGGTCCTATATTGCCTGCAGTCACCCTCTGGTCGGAATTTTATCATGAATGCATCCAATCAGGCCAGTACTTCCTCAAGATTTCACAATGGCACGAAAAATATGGTATGTCCATTTGCCAATCGATACCTCGGAAAATCAAGTACCATCATGTTGAATACTCTCTTTAGGTCCAATTATCCGGATCGGGCCAAATGAAATTCATATCAATGATCCCGAATACTACAACACCCTATTCTCTTATAATGGCGTGAGAAACAAAGATCCATTCTACACAGCACAGTTTAACACGCCAGATACTGAATTTGGAGCCGAGGATCACTATATTCATCGAATGAGAAGGTCTGCACTCAATCCATTCTTCTCAAAAGCTTCGATTGATCGCCTTTCCCCTATGTTAACTTCTATGGTAAGTCTGCTATCCACTAAACTATCAAATCTGAAGCATTCGCCTCCTCCCAGCGGCTGTTTAAATTATCTCATTTCACGCCAATTTTAAGTGTTCCGGATTAGTCTTAACATCTCTATCTCTCTATAGGTCGAAAAACTCTCATCACGCCTCGAAGAGTTCCGTAATACGAATCAACCGCTCATCATTCGTCTTCCCTTTCAATGTTACACGGCCGATATCGTTACACTTTACGCAACCAACCGTTGTTGGAATCATCTCGATGTACATCCCACCCTTCTTGTTTGAGAACACTTCTAACAGAATTCTATAGACTCCAGATTTCAATCCCTCATGGGCACAAACCTTTGTTGCTCTATCTGTTGTATCAAAATGGGCCAAATTTCTTCCAAGTATTTATACCTTGATGGAACATATCCCGCACTGGATACTGAACAGATTTGCTCCGAGCGTTATTCTTACGCTTGACTATCATAATGTACTATCGAATTTCCTCTATTCTTTTTTCCAACTCTTTCCCCTCGCTAAGTTGCAGCTAACACAAATCTTCTCAGAAAATTCGCACCCAAATCAGCGAAATCCTCTCAGGCACCATCCTCCCAGTCGATGCCCCTATCAATGGCTTCCCACGTACCATATTTCATAATTTCCTCTCCTCTTCTTTACCGGAAAGCGAAAAGAAGTTCTCTAATATGAGTCAGGAGGCTATCAATATCATTGGGGCGGGCACGGATACGACGGCTCATACGTTGATGATTTTGATGTATTATCTAGCTAGTGACGCGGTGAGGTGTGAGAAGTTGAGAGAAGAATTGAGGGGTGTGGGATTAGGGAGGAGAGAGCATGAGGGGATGAAGAAAGTGGAGCTGGGGATGGTGGAGAGATTGGTTTATTTGGTGAGTGTGTCGGGGATCGTTAATGAGGGATGTACAGGACTGACTCGAGATCTAGAATGCTTGTGCTCTTGAAGGATTACGGTGAGTTCGATTTCACGTGCAATCTGAAGATGACTAGATAGTAATGAATAAAAGTCTTTCCTACGGCGTCACAAGTCGACTAGCTCGCATCGCACCCAACGAGAACTTACGATATGGCAAATGGGAAATCCCCGCCGGTGTAAGTTATTCTTTGCAACCTTCTTCCTCTCCAAAGTCTCTTCTAAGACAATCCTCCTCATAGACACCCATCGGCATGAGCACAATGCTTCAACACCACAATGAACACATCTTCCCTTGCTCCCATCAATTTCTCCCCGAACGATGGATTTTAGAAAATGGCAGCATAAACCACGCTCTTGAAAAATATCTTGTTTCTTTCTCGCGCGGCTCAAGAAGTTGTATTGGCCAGGTGTATGTACATCTTCCCTTCATTTCCATTCTCTACATAACCTCACCTCACCTAACCTACCCTAAATCATCCTATCCACATCCCTTCCTCCCTCCCCTTATCAATCCGCAGCATAAAACTCCACAAACATTCTCTTCCTCTCTATCCCATCCTTCCATCCACAACCACTAGCTAACAATCCCCACCCATCGTCATAAAGTCTCGCCAAAGCGGAAATCCACCTCGCGCTCGCAGTTGTCATATCGCGTTTTGAAATCCGTCTCTACGAAACGGATTTCGAGAGAGATGTTAGGGTGAAGAGGGATTATTTTTTGCCCCAGCCGGGATTGGATAGTAGGGGGGTGAGGGTTTTGTTGAGTTGAGTTGGGTTTTTGGGGGGAAGTTTTGTTGGGATGGGGAGATGGGGAGATGGGGAGATGGGGAGATGGGGAGATGGGGAGATGGAGAGATGGAGATATGGAGAGATGGAGAGATGGAGAGATGGAGAGATAGAGAGATGGAGAGATGGAGAGATGGAGAGATGGAGAGATGGAGAGATGGAGAGATGGAGAGATGGAGAGATGGAGAGATGGAGAGAATGGAGATTGGGGGTGAGGTGGTGATATGGTGATGTTGTGGAGGTGGGACAAGATATTGAGATGACTTGGAATTGGAAACTGGAAGTTGGAAGCTGATAGCAAGATTAATGAATCCTTTTTAGTTGTAGGTGTTTATTGTTTTTATGGACTATTTTATTTTCAAATCTGATGGTACCAAATTGACAAGTATATCAAGAGTTTTTTTATGACTGAGGAATTGGTGCAGTGCAGATACTATATACAGTGGGATGGCTTTCTATAGATGTCCTATCTCGGCCAAATTACTTTATCGGTGGTTTGAGAGTGCATTAATTATATCCATATGCATATGCATATCTTCATACTCAAGCTAATTAGTATCTCCTATCCCCTATCATTTAATTTTCATTCCATTCCATTCCATTTCTCTTCACTCACTTACTCACTACACCATACTATATTGAATTAAATTTACCACAGTAAATAAACAACAAAGTCATAAAATCCCCACCCATCATCATTCATCCCTGGGAACCATACTTTATCTCCTCACCTCCTCACCTCCTGCTATATCTTCCCCATCGAGATTATAGAATTATCTGTCATCGCTATCCAATTCGAGTTTCCTTTCTTTACACCATCACCTCATTTTCCTTTTCCCCAACGAAGTCATTTTCCACTTTTTTCCTTCCCCTTACCCGTTGCAGTCGCAGATGCACTTCCCAACATGCTCCCCTCCCCCTTTCCCTTTCCTTTTCCCCGCGCCACCACATTATCCGCCGCTTCTTGAACCGCGGCTGCGATATCGCTTTCAACTCTCTTCTGCTCCTCAATTTTCTCACTGCTTACTTTCTCCCCTCTCGTATTCGTATTTTGCCCCTCCTTATTCTTCTCCTTATTTTCCTTCCCTCCCAACTTCATCTCTCTATCAGAGACAAACCCAGCACCAAGAGAAAGCACGGGTGCTCCCACCGCAGGCGCAATAGTTTCCTCGCCGCTACTGAGAGGTTTGCGTCCGTGGACGATATACATGTTGCACCAAATGTGGACGCGAGGGTCTTTGAATTCGTTGCGGACGCCGGCGGCGAGGACTTGGTATCTGGGTTTGGTGGGGGTGGTTAGTTTGGGATGATGGGGATTGTTTTGGAAGTGTGGGGGGGGTGAGTGAGAGGGGGAGACGGGAGTGGAGAGGATGGGGTTGGGGTAAGGAAGAGTGGAGAGCGGGGAATACAGGGAGTGGGTGAGTGTCAAAGAGGAAAACTTACTCTTCCGGACTCCATCCTAATATCCGTGTGAAATGCGCCATTCCATACGCGACAGTTGCGTCTAACATGTTTTGTTGCATATAGAGGCCAATTTCCTTGTTGCGACGATCTCGAGCCCAAGGTGCCATAGGGACCTAGATGATGGTTAATAAAATTTGTGGACTATCCTCCGAGACATGGAGTTCTAGAAGTGTAGGTAATTCTTAGGACTCATCCGATACGCGAGAGAGATCCCATATACATCCTTTCCCCTCCTACGAAATAGAGAATAAAACATACCCTCCAATGTCTCTCCACCACTGCTTCAAATCCAGCTTCTTCCAACCAATCTTTAAATTTCATAGCGACATTCAAGTCTCGGCCGAATAATCTGGATGCTTCATCAAGGCCCGCTTGCCACTTTTGGAACGATGGAGCGAGCTGTTAAGTCGTTAGTGGACGTAAAAGGGGCAATGTCGTCGGGCATAGAATAATATGTACCTCTCCTGTCCCATCGTCTGAGTATCCATGACTATGGTAGAAGTTTAGATTTGAATGGTTCAAGTGATGAGTGAAGCGTTATAGGGTGAAGAATCAAGAAAGAGGTAGAAAGAAACTGAGACACACTATTCGAAATCTACAAGCTCGATAAACCCTCCATCATTCAGATTATCACGAGCTTGGTCGAGAAGATGAGGCCTGGGTATGAATATTTAGCATTACGTATTGTCGTGATGGATTGTCCTGTTACAGGTATAATCATAAAACATACCAAGAAGCTACAGAACCGCCCAAGGAGCGAATGTGTATAAAATCAAATTTCTGACTATAACGCCATGTATCTTCGACATCATCGATCTAGTCATAGTCAGTATTTCGATCTAGTAAGGCGATAGCACCGACCTACTTCAAATTCAAGATTTGGCGGAATCCTACGAGTAACTTAGCAAACACTTGTACAAGGATAAGATAAAATCATACCAGCCAGGTTGAATCGGAGATAAGTCACAGCCCACAACATGCGATGAAGGATATTGACTAGAAGCGAAGTTAGGAATCTCTTCTCCTTTAAGCAGGTTTAAACATACTCGGCGAAATCAATTGCCCAAATCCCAGTACCGGTTCCAACATCAAGTACCCGCTGAGGGTTCTCAATCGGGGCCAAGTACAGCTTACCATCTAAAACAAGATTGAAAACGTGATGAAGCTTTGGATATCTATCAGATCGGGGTTTCCAGAATTGGAACGTTCATATACATACTAGATCCATGCGATCTTGCTCGTCATCATCGTTGGGCTTGAATTTTCAGTCCTGTTTTGTAGATGGTACAAACAATGTATCTTACCATCAGATATTTACCATCTCTATAAGCATGATATCTCCGACCATTCTAAAAGGTGTAAGTATGTTTGATCACTTCAAGTATACGAAAGCCGAACCATACCTCTTCTCTTGAGTAGCTGAATCAGCTTACGTACCTCCAGCAAGAATCATGAAGTACTCACCTATATCGAGTAATTCCAGACGTTAACGATGTCTTACTCGTGTTGCTCCTATGCTGATCTTAGTCTACGTTCGAAAACTTTAGTGATTACCCACGCTGCAGGTCCACCGAATGCGGAATCATTCTCAAGTGCGTCGTTGTCCTTCACTAGTAAGCTTTGATTTTTAAATAACTCTGGTAGGATAATTACATCAACTTCGATTGGATTGGAAATTGTATCATCTTGTGTATCTTGACCGCTTCCGCCAGCTGCATTAAAAGCATCAATTGCTTCTTGCGATGTTGCCATATTATCGTTTGAAATATAACCACATTAATGGAATCACTAAAGTATGGAAGAGATGCAAATATTCATACAGAACAAAACCTCGAATGAAATATAAATGAGTAAAGAAAAAGTCTTTCTATTATAAAAGTAATATATCTTCGTTCAACTGGTCATCTCCCCAACCCAAAACTTTGTAATACCACATCTTTCGTGTCTTGCATACCAGTACATATTGCAGCTTGTTCCGATACTCAAAGAAACCTCCAACAGTTTGGGTTTGACGACAGCGATGATTCCTGGCTATCTATGACTCGTCCCAAAGTGCCGGGCCCGTTTTGCTTGGACGGATGAACCAGATCCCGCCAAGGTGCTGCAAAATATGCAAGCAGCCGAAGGTAGGCGAAAAGTAACTAACCATGATATATGGTCGGCGATCAAATATTGGCGCAATGGTGTTGCCATCACACACCTGTCATTGAATGTGGTGAATTTGAATGAGAATGCAAAGAAATGAAAGTGTTGAAAAAGAAAGGAGAAGATTTGGTCTTGAAACAATGGAAATGAGAAATTCAACGCTCGCTCAACGCATCCAATGCAAACAGGTGATATTATTTGCTTAGTACAGCGGGTAAAGAAGCCGTGGCACAATACTCAGCTGGATAAAAGGGACAGGCGGCTTACGCAAAGTCCCCGAGGAACTTTCTGTGCATTTGATTAAGTTGAATGGCTGGGAAGATTACCTAAATACTCGCAAATAATGACTAGAAACATTCACGGCCGTAGAGGGTGGCCTGTTGTGATCACCAATTTGGCGTCATTTGAATGCACTGATGATCGTAAATATGTACGTCAACTTGACAGTTTCTCACCCGTTGAATAAAAATAGTCCGAATTCGGGGAAAATGACAAGCCAATAATCTTCAATGCTATGTTAATATGAATTAGATGACCGGGTATCATGTAGAGCTTCCGTCGCTGTCACCATTTCTCCAGAAACGCCCCAGTAACTCCATCGGGAGCTCACTTATTTTCTCATTCTTCCGGAGCAAGGGACATAAGATGCAAGCACCTGCTTTTACAATCGAGGTAAAATATCATCGCCATCTCTCTCAAAGCGCCTCTACTACTCCATTGAAACCCCGCCCAGACGCTGGCACTCTCGCATCGACAGATGTGAAGACATAAGATGAAAGCTCCCTCAGCAATTTCAAAAGTCAGCTCAGCGATCTCTGCGTATCATGAGAGAACTTTTAGAAACCCAAATGTAATACTTAGAAGGAACCCCGTGAAAACAGCAATTTGTCTTCTTGATGACAATATTCCAGGCTCTCTTAATATCCATACAACACATCCAAGAGGCCATATGAATCCCATAATGTTGCCCCATAATAAATCATCAAATCCACTACCCATACCATCGTCCCCAAAGTCAAAGCCACCCTCAACTCTACCTGCGCCATTCCCTGCATTATTATCTATCCAAGAATCTTCCATCCGTAATAAGGTATTAGGAGACGGCATAGTATCTGGTGTATGTATGCTTGCTTGAATTGACTGGAATTGAAGTCGTAGTTGATTCACTTCAGCTGGGGAAAACCCAGCAGAGAGGAATCGATTGAAGCCACGCGGTGCAACCGTTGTGCTTGAAGTTGGTGTGCCGAGACTCGTAGAAGCTGTATCTGGTAATTTTTCCTTTTTTGCCTTATTGAGTGCGGTAGTAGCTGCTAATGTTTCTGCTTCGAGCTCGGCAGGACTTAGGTCATCATCACTGATTGAGCAGTTGATGTATACCCTGGGAGGTGGTAGTTCTACATCTTTTCCTTTTCCTTTCGCATCTACAGCCCGTGGAGGAGGTGTTGGAACTTTAAGTATAGCTGTTAGGAAATCATCATCTCGTAGAAACTTTCCCCCATATATAAATCGAAATCGACGTTTTGATGCTGGAGGTTCAAGCTTTGAACGGACCAAATGTTTCAATCCTACACCAGTAACATTGTTCTGAGTGGGGATGTCCAAAAGCAGATCCGGGATCGAATCTGCGAATCGAATGGTAAGATGCAATGGCTTTGATAGTGATGAAGCCGCAGAGCTTGGTTTTGAAGTCATTGTTGAATGGAGAATTGAGAAAGGCGAAGGTGGGCGGGGTTCAATTTCTATCTCAAGCTCGAGGCCAAGCAGTCTTATTGTCAATCTAGAATCATTGTATCGATACAAGAGCAGTTGATGAGCTTTCTTGCAGTGATCTTGCGTTGATAATAAATTGTGATGTGTTCCGGATGGTAAACTTCAATACTCCTCCTTCTCGTTGATCCCGACTCGTATCCCCATATTTTGATAAGACGGCCGCTAGTGTTTGCAGCTTTACGGGAGCGAGGGGAGGAGGGGAGCTTCCACCTTCACCTTATCGTAATTAATCCTTATGCCGAATTATTGCAACATTGCGACACCGGCACCCGACTACGACCTAATCAGTAATAAATAAAGTACCGGTGTGATAGAAGAGTATGAGAAATTGTGAATAATATCAAAATCTTCAAGGGATTATTCGTCATCACTATCTTATCCCACCTTTCTTCCTTTCCCCATCTCTCTCTCTCTCTTTCTCTTAAAGTACCGGTGATATCAATGATAACTCGTAAATCTTCATTTCTTTTGGCACCATCTTTGACAGGACAATTTATCAAAACCTCTTCTATTACATCTCCCCGCTTCTTTCACCCCACCATGAGTAACAAATCTAAGCTTCAACCTGCTGCTCGGGTTGCCGCAAGAAAGCAAGATGTTTGGTATGTATAGTTTTGCCCTGTGTCTCATGGAAGTTCAATTGTCAACATTAATTACAAGTCCGCAAATCCGCAAGTCCGCAAGTGCAGAGCACGGGAACCGCTGAACAATCACTCTATGCCCATGGCTTTCTGCCATTGTTATCATATCTCTAACATAATGCATTTGCAGGACCATTGTCAATGAGGCTGCCGCCGCCTCTCCCAAGCAACCTATTGTAAACATGGGCCAAGGTTTCTTCGGATATAATCCTCCTAAATTTATCCTCGATGCCGCCAAGGCAGCTCTCGATAAGGTCGAATGCAATCAATATTCGCCAACCAAGGGTCGTCCACGTCTCAAGCAAGCAATTGCAGATTCATACTCTCCCTTATGGGGAAGAAAGCTGAACCCCGACACGGAGATCACTATTACAACCGGTGCAAATGAAGGTTAGGGGATACCACGAAGTTACGGAATATACGCTTACCAATTGCAGGCATGCTAAGTGCCTTCATGGGATTCATCGAAGAAGGGGACGAGGTTATAATATTCGAGCCATTCTTTGACCAGTAAGACGATGTACCGAACATGAATTTACAAATGCGATGCTGAATCTTCACAGATATATCAGCAACATAGAAATGCCAGGTGGAAAGATCCGCTACGTACCTCTACATCCACCTGAGAAGGGCGCAGCTCAGAATACTTCTGCGGGAGAATGGACAATAAACTTCGCCGAGCTCGAGGCAGCGATCACACCTAAGACAAAGATGATCGTTCTCAACACGCCTCACAACCCGGTCGGCAAGGTCTTTTCAAAGGAGGAATTGCTCAAGATCGGAGAACTTTGCGTCAAGAACGAAATCATCATCCTTTCCGACGAAGTGTATGACCGATTATATTATACACCATTCACAAGAATGGCAACTTTATCTCCAGAAATTGAGAGACTTACACTTACAGTTGGGTCTGCTGGAAAGAACTTCTACGCGACTGGATGGCGTGTTGGATGGTTGATCGGACCACCACACTTGATTCAATATGTTGCAGCAGCACATACAAGAATCTGCTATTCTTCTGTGTCGCCCTTACAAGAAGCTGCGGCCGTTGGATTTGAAGAGGCCGATGCTAATGACTTCTGGAACTCAGCCGTAACTGAAATGAAGGGTAAAATGAATCTTTTCAACGAGATTTGGAAAGAACTGGACCTTCCATTCTCCGATCCTGAAGGTGGTTATTTTGTTTTGGTGAACATGAAGAAAGTCAAGATTCCAGCCGACTATCCATTTCCAGACCACGTTAAGGACCGCCCAAGAGACTTCAAGTTGAGTTGGTTCTTGATACAAGAGGTTGGCGTAGCTGCTATTCCTCCAACCGAATTTTATACCGATGAGAATGCACACATTGGCGAAGACTGGTTACGATTTGCTGTATGCAAGGAAGATCAGGTACTTGAATCAGCAAAAGAGAGATTACGAGGCCTTAAAAAGTACATTGAGGCATAAATGTAAGATGATAAACGGCGCTTCCAACATGCAGGGCCAATATGCAACTAGGGAGTTCTAGCTAGTAGATAATTACGAACTGCGAAGCCATGATTCGTTGGGTTGTCTCACAATTGATGCTATCAAGCAGGAATTTTGTGTCTCATTAAGTATGTGATCCGGCTCCAATGAGAACCTTGGGGCTCACTTAGATGATACGTGAATACTTATTATGCAAGTGTACATGTCGTAATGGTTTTTAACTAAGCGGCCCTTGGTATGGTCGACAACATGTACCTACTAGGTATAGCTAGTAGGTAAGACACAAAGTCATGGCATAGGGAGCCGTTTCTTTCTTTACCCCGCGGTATGATGTTTGCCTCAACACTAGGACGTGGTGACATCATGACTATTGACTTCACCTACATATAGATAGATCGAAGTTTTATACAACTTTCAAACCGACAGAGTTCCCTCATAAACACCTACTAGTATCCAGTATATCAAATCAAATATTTACCATCAAGGTTTCTTTCTATACATACAGTTTCTCCCATCTCCAGTTTCGGAATCATGCAAGCAGTTAAGGACACAATTGCCGAAAACTTCGGTAGTGCGTATGTATCCATTATTCTCCCCAAATATTCGTTGTATTAATTGTTTGTAGACACTCTCTTGCAAAACCAGAGCACCAATTTTCCCTCGAGGATTGCCCTGATCAGAGTGGAAAGGTAGCGGTGATTACTGGTGGTAGCGAAGGTATTGGCTATGGTTGCGCACACACTCTGCTCAAAAACAACCTCGCCAAGCTGTTCATCATTGCTGTGTCCCAAGAAGTCTATGATGGTGCTGTAGAAGACATTTCAAAGACTATCTCGCCCGAGGCAGCTCAAAAATGTACATTCCTTAAGTGTGATATATCTGATTGGCCTTCCGTATGCAAGGTTGCCCACACTATATCTGAAAGCACAGATAGAATTGATGTCTTATGCAATCTCGCTGCACGTGGAATCATGACCTATCAACTTACCGATTATGGTCTTGATAGACACATGGCTGTCAATCATTTCGGCCACGTTATTCTCACCAGTCACTTGATGCCAATCCTCAAGAAAACAGCAGAGGCAGGGAATACTGTTAGAATCGTAAATATGGCATCGAATGCTCATCAAGCCACCCCAAGCGATTGCAAATTTGCAAACCAGGAAGAGTTGAATACCGATTTGGGACCAAATGGTCAATATGGACGATCAAAGTTGGCTGCTATGCTTTATTCCCGTTATTTGGCCCGTCATCTTACTTCCAAGTATCCCAAAATCTTGGTCAATTCCGTGCATCCAGGATTTGTCGACACGAAGATGTCACAAGTTGATATTCATGAGCCATATCCAGTACTCGGATATGGCATGTCTGTCTTGATGAAGCCACTGAAGAAGGATCAATGGGACGGCTGTGTCAGTACCTTATACGCAAGTACTGCAGTAGAAGAAAGTGGATTGTATATCTGTCCACCAGCAATCCCGGAGCCGGGAAGCTCCCTTTCACAGGATGAGGAGTTGGGCGAGCAATTGATGAAGTTGACGAAGGAGATTATTGTGGATAAAATGCCCAAAAAGAGCGTCGACCAGGGATGCCCACTTGAGCTTTTCTAATTCGCAACGCGACATACTTTATCGAATATGGTAATATATTAATGAATTATTATTTATTCTACTATTCTAACTCTGATATCTATGGTATCATTTCGAATCTGCTTCTTCCCTCTTTCATATGATTTCTTCTGCTTTGCTGAAACGCCTTTCACGCCTTTCATACCCTCACTTCCCCAAAGCTTAAATTCTCTTTGCCGTTCACAATCACATACAATTCTTCTCCCCTTTTCATCTTCATCTCCACAACTATTACAGCACTTGACACCTTCACAGACCTCGCAAACCACTAACACCAACTCACACCCTTCCATGCCACATTTTCCCATTCTGTCTTCCTCCCTCTCGCAGCCATGACACTTCGCTACTTTCTTCCTTTCATTCTCATTACCTAAACCTAATGATCCTCTTCCATCAAAAACATATTCCCTTCCCTTCCATAAACACTCATCTTCTCTCTTCCTCCCAGCGGTCATCTCTTCCTCAAACCATGCCATGTAAGCCGATATACCTCCCTTCAAGGTGTAAATTCTGTCTTGCGGGGCTTGATCTACATTCTCAGCGATCCACCTTGTAGCCTTTTCACAGCGAATACCACCTGTACAGTACGAGAAAATCGTTCTGCCGACACTGACATGCTCTTTTTCGCCCTCGGGTGAAGAACGAGAGGTGAAATCAATATGTTTCTTCACAAACGCTGGAAACTGCGAAAACCTCCTAACCTGTGGCTTCACAGTCTGGATACCCGATTCCTCCGGTGCCTCAAAATAGCCAATCCGCGATTCGTAATGATTCCGTATATCCAGTAATATTCTTTCTCCTTCCTCATCTGCCGTAGTCGTGACCATATCATGAAACTCCGCAGGACTGAGATACGAAACCGCGTTCCAATTCTTAGGCTCGTAGTTTGTGATTCCTAACGGTGTGATTTCATCCGCAATGCGGGTATTCAGATCCACGAAAACACATGCGCAGCCTTTTGTAGGTTTGAAGAACTCCTTGATTCCCTTCTCGTTGTCTAGAGAGAGATCTAACCCTGCGAACGACCAATGAGATATACAAGATTCGATATACGAATGCACATCCGACGTCGTGCCGGCAACAGTGATATTGAAGCCTTCCTTCGCGACTCGAATTTTGCCAGTAAGATTTAGAGCTCCACATGTTGACTTCTGGAAGGCATGCAAGTCTTTGAGGGTAGAAGTTGTGAGTGGATAATGTGGTGAAGGGAGTTGAGGTGGGGAGGTAAAGTAGCGATAAAAGAGAAGCACGAGGCCTGGCTGATGGCAGGTACAAGTGTAGGTAAGTGGATCGGAAGGCATCACTGTTCAGATATGCGGTGATACGTGAAGAAAAGGCCTCGAGAAATGTGACGGAAAGGTCACGTGCAAACTGGCTTCAATTTTTCCTCCTGGCAGTAATTCCTGCCAAAGCATGAACGGCCTTTCGACGGCGAACTTCACTTAACCCGAGACAGTGGAGGTTTGAAGAGTTTAAGAAACCGCGTGGTAGCAAAATCTATAATTGTTCAACTATGCTGCACCCGGAAAAATCTTGGTGAAAGGGAATTTGGTCATGCTTTGCTTAGTCATGTGGATTTCTCAAAAGCTTTATCTCGCTCGTCTCAATTCCATTTTTACTCACATACTTCATTCATGTAGCATCGACGAGGTATTGTTGGAGCCGGATTCAATCAAGGAGTTTCATCTATCCAGAAGTTACTGTCTTTAAAATTGCTGAGAAAATATATCGATGTGACACGGCATTACCGATCGTTTTCAATGCAGTGTAATTATGGGATTACAAATTCAAGGGTCAAGGGAAAAGGCTTGCTGTTGTTAACGGCAACTCGATACATCAAGTGATGTGATGATGTTCGTTCTTGAAAATTGCCTTTCTCCTTATAGGGGCAATTTCAATCACTGCTAGATGATGTATTATCCTCAAACAAACATTCTGCAAATTATATGTCACTGATTGATATTCTGTACTGTCCACAAGAAGACAGATGCGCAAAGCTAGCATAGCGATTCAACGGTTTGTTCTCGATGGTTGATAGATATGGATTGTAGGTCTAGTTTCCATCGATTCAATTCTGAAGTATTCGTCACTTCGTGGGACATGAGTTGAACCGCATTTCTCGGAAGCTGGGCTGGAATGGGTTTCCCATTTCAAGCGAAAGATCTCGAAGGTCCACGGTCGCCATAATACTTCATGAGCCCCAACCTTCAAGGCCACTCAAAAGTCAACGTGGGAATAGACGTGGACCTTGCGTTTTTCTTTCTGTCTTGCAAGCATCGGATCAAAGCTCTGCAGCATTTCAAGTAATGACAATACTAGATCACAGAACTGCGTTATTTGGGACGTCGCATTTATAGGATGTTCGTATTTGGGCGTATTAATCGCCAATTCATTTTAGTCATCGTGATACTACCCAACTGGCTCGGATTTGTCAAGTTTTGGCCCGCTTGATTTGTCTTCTGCCTTGAATGAATAGGTACCGGGTGTTGCTACCTAGGATAACTACCAACAAAATTATCGACTTACTATGTACAATTAATCAGTTGATGTGACAAACGAAAGAACACCTAATTTTGAACGATACACCTTGCCATTACCACGATTTTAAAAGATCATTAGCACGGACGAGGTTAGGATTTGATTGTCTTGTCTACTATCATGGTTAGATATTCCGGACGGCACAGTGAGGGTAAGAGCACAGAAGATGTCCATAATAATAGACAAAAGAGCAATCCTACACGTTCAAACTCTTCTCGTAATATCAGAGACAGCAAGGGCTATGGTAATAACCATCCAGGACAATACTGGAATGGAAGATAATGGGTACTTGATCCCAATTTGGTCAAGACAATCGAAAATCTTTATGACAAGCTAGAAGCTGCAACCAAAAGTAAATGGGAATTGGAGGAAGATATGAGTTGCATCGAATCTCCACCAAGCGATGATCTTAAAGTAGCAGCAGAAGCCGGACTTGAGGCTGCATTCCATTCGGCTAAGGCGGAGAAATTCAAAGAAATTCAACGAAGTTTATATAAAAAGGCGAAAACAGGCTCGCGATCTGGTTCATCCACAGATGAAATCGAAGGACGTAAATTATTGGAAGCGACAAAGAAAAAAACCATGAAAATATGCAGGCATATGACCCAGATACTCATTTGGCATATAAAAAGGTTCGCAATATCTTGGAGAAGAGAAAAAACTACAAACATAAAGTTCGTAGCTATCGAGAAGCTCGTGCTCCGATTGATGAGAAGATAAACCGAATGCTAAAACAGATGGTAAGGTATCACGACGAACTGGGACATGATTGGTTTGTTTGCTGCTGGGATTCCATACACTCTTCTTTACGGTTAACATTAAAGATCAATTTGTATTAGACAAGACAGGTAGCTGAGAATAATCATATCGATAAGCGACTCCATTGCTTGTTGTGAGGGGGACTCACTGATAGGGCTTATTATTTGAGCTATTAGAGTAAATTGTACACATCAACACATTTCTAAAGTAGTATCAGAAATGTTTTGGGATTCTCAATTTTCATTGTCTCCTTCTTGAACCCTTTCAAATACTCATTTACCAATCATTGTGTTGATTCGATATTCCTGTTGCGCTCTACTAGTCTTAATAATTTCAAATCATTCAACTCAATCATAATCTTGAATCCTTTATTTCTTTACTCATTTTCTTCATATCCTTCCTCATTCTCACTCCAAGGTTCATTCCGAATATTATTCATTTGACTCTCGTTCATTTACCGGGTATTCTGCTGCATAATCATCGCATTGCATTGAAATTCCACGACTTCATTCTCTTCTAAAAGGGTATCATTAAACCGTGATTCGAATAGGGAAAAAAACGTCCAAATAGACTATTCATTTATACAATTTCTTTCCGTCTTTCACGTATCTCCTACATATCTGTGCTAAGTATAAGCTGAAGATATAGCATGTTTACAAAGGTCAACGAAGAAACACTCACAGATTATAGATACAATACACGATGAAGATTATTTGAGAGTTAGAACATTACTTGTAATTTTTGAACGGGGTGAAGACGGTTACTGAGAGACATGATTAGATTTATAAGTTTTAAGCAAATGAGAATAGATTTAATTATTGAAAGGGGTGACTTGTTTACTGTTGTAATGAAGAAAAGTTTTAAGGGGTTCAGGAGTGGGGTTTTAAGCGAATGATTATCCTGATACAGATCTCTCACTCGAGAGAGTTGACTTATGATGCTACTGTTTGAAGTTTCGTCTTCGATCCAATCTTGAAATACTTGAATGAAAGACTCGTTTCTCGCTTGAGTCCGCGACAGAACATTTGAGATAACTCGGCGCCAGCGCCTTGCCATCTCATGCTCCAAAGCTCACTTCTCGTTCTTCTCATCCTTCTCAAACTTCGACATCAAGGCCTGCACCCGTAGACCAAGGTTTTTACGACGAGGATGAGCACGGATTCGGTCTATGATTGCTTGAGCTTCGGTCACCTCATCAGCCTCATCAACCTCAGCATCCTCTCCTTGGTTCTCCTCACGTTCTTTTGCTACTTTCAGCTTATCGAGTCTCTTGGTAAGTTCATCGACCGCTGGCGGTTGTGGTTCCTGAATCGTCGCCTCTGGCACGTTGTATCCAGGGGTCATGGGCTTACTACAAGTAGGCGAAGGCGAAGACTCACTTGAGCTGTCAGAGACTTCAGGCTTATCGCAGGCCTCATCACTATCATTCCCAAGGGTAAGGTCTTCTAGCTTCTCGGTCACCGCGTCAACTTGTGGTGGTTGAGGTTCTTGCATATTTGCTTCTACAGTGTCAGACATCTTGATTAATGTTTTATGAAGATTTTTATGCTAGTGTTTGTTTAGTCGGGGAATATATACCGACTGTGACTTGAGACTTAAATGAGGAGAATACATGGATCAGATCTTGCCCTTAGATTTAAGATCTATCGATTGTTCATGAAAACCTAAACTGGACCGAAACAATGACTTTATGCTAGACAAAGACACCAAAATTCGTTTCTTAATGACGGGTCTTTGAAAATTGTCGAATTGTTCTCTACTTCCTTTATTATCTTTGTTCTTGTCATAGACTAATCAGAGTTCAAGAATCAAAAGATGTCATCTGAGTTAGTGTAAGACCGCTTCCGAAGTACAGTCCTCAATATTCTAATAACCATGAGAAGTTGGAATTCTCAGGAGGAGCAGGGATCACTTTCGAAACTTGAATTGAAATATAAGAGTGAATGATCAAATTCGAGCGTTGTAAATCAGATCGACGAGCTGAATAAACTGATAGATAGGTATCTCACCTTATTACCGAGTGTTCATACTAACTATATAGAGTAATCGCATCATACGCTAACCTCACATGGTCGATCAATCACCCAATAACAGTCTTTGTATTAATGGGTAGCCAGAGCCCATTAGCTAAGACTTATTCAGACTATCCTACAGTCTATAGAATAGATCGAAACAGTTATCATTCTTGTCTCTCACTGTAGCATCGAACTTACTAGATTAAAAGGACAGATTGTCATTCAGTACCATCGCTAACACTCGAATCTAGAGTAATACTTAAATTTTTGTTTAAGTAACTTAGTCTCATTATTTAAGTATCATTAAAATGAAGTTCCAAGCTGGATACGTATGTATCACAGTTTCCCAGGATTTGAAATTTCCAAATGAATAATTTCCTCACCCATTCATGGATATAATCTGACAGTGGCTTGAAGCGTGCATATGAAGGATTCCAATGTTGTCCGAGGAAATCCATATTGAATAATTCTAATATTTGATTTGCAGCTACCCGACCTGTAATGGCAAAGTAAGACATGCGATTGAAGGATTGCGCCACAGTATGAAGTGAATACTTGTGAGTACTAATCCCCGGCCAACATCTCAATATCGGCTCCCAATCACTCATGCACAGCTAATAATTATTTGAAGGCGGGGCTTGCACTTGAGCCCTTGCTAGTATGTCAAGTGAATTATCGTCATTTCCCATTCGAAATTGCACCTTTCTGGTTAGCGAGGTACCCAGCATATACATATAGTTCACCTCTTTGCTCTCCTTGACCTGATATATTTTCCACATAGTACTCTTCCTTTTCAGCCTGAAAGTCTTTTCCATTCAAAAGAAGCAATGGCATCCTTCTCCAAGTTACAAAAGGACATGCCTGATGAAACATCCATAGAAGTAAGTTGCTGCCAGCTTTACCCTTCCACTCTTCACCTGAATCTTTCTCTGCTTTGAGTTTCTGTGGAACAAATTCCCTGTGCTAGCAGGCCAATTACACTTGAGCTTGAGTTCCAAATCACCATCTCAATTGTTCTCTTCGAAACTCATATAGCATAAGCTGACTGTGTGCTAGGAAAATATGAATGACCTAGCTATTGATGAGTTGGCTGTGCCTAACTCGAAATCAGCTTCAGCTGTTTGGAAGAGTGCGTCCAAGTGGCTTCCTCGACGAAATGATGATTGCGACTTTTGGTGGCAGTCAACCGGTCCTCAACTTGGTGCCCTACTTTTTTATGCTGGATACAGTGTCAATCAACAATATGAGGGCTTGCTCTTCCACTATCATGTTCTGTAAGCTCAATCTTTTAGTCGAATTCTTGTTTTCAATACTCACCTCTGTTCCCCAATGTTAATCTAAACCATTGTGTTTCATTTCATGTACTCTCTCACTTTCCTCCCACAGCATCAATACCTTATTTTACCCATTTCTCTTCAGAACCTAGTTCTTGGTAGGTAAAACTAACTCCTTAATCTTGCAGCGTACCACGCCTCGGTCCTCGCCCAGCACGTTCTTCTCTCTCTGGAGAGTCACCATACAAATGGAAGTCCTTTATGCAAGACGACTTTAAGCCAATCGAATACAGTTGGAAATGGGATACTGGAAAAATGTTGTCGAATGGAAACATGTCGAAGCCTGATCTCAGAATGGTCATTGAGGCAATTGGTCCGCTCACTGGAACAGCACAGGATCCTCTCAACCAGGCAGCCACAGGAGAACTTCTTCGCGAGCTAGATGCCGTAAACCCAAAAGTAGACTTGACTTGGTTTCACCAAGTGTCTCGTGCTATATTTAGAGAAGTAGACATCACTGAAGCCAGAGACCATATCCAAGCAGCAGATTTGGCTGATGTGGGCAGTTCATCAATGTTTCTTGCGTTTCAATTCCTCAAAGGCGACCCCAAGAGCGATTCTCCCATCAAGGCTTACTTCATGCCACCAGGATGGGCAAAGTCGCAAGGAACTGACAATCGAGCCCACGAGAAAACCATAGCAGCCATTCGAAGCCTCGGACAGAAAGATAAGCATGAATGGACTACGCTAGACCAATTGTTGTCGTTTTTCAGTGACAACGAGAATGGAAGACAATTATCTACTCCTTTCATAGTCTCAACCGATTGTATGGTATCTTCAGAATGCCGACTAAAGATATATGTTCGTACGCCCAGAGCTAGCTTCGATTCTGTAGTAGATATTCTCAGCATGGGGGGAAAACGAGCAGGATTCGAGAAGAATTTCCAGGAACTCAAGGACCTCTGGCGCTTGACCTTTGACCTTCCAGAAGGCTTCTCAACCTCGGAGGATCTACCTCTACGAGAGCATGGTACCAGCGGCATGTGCTACCATTTTGAAATCCACCAAGCAAATGCGCTTCCAGATGTCAAGTTATACATACCAACCAAGCACTACGGACAGTCGGACATGAAAGTTGCTAAAGGACTCGCCAAGTTCCTTGAACTTTATGGGAGAGGAGCTTACGCGGCTGACTACATGAAAGCACTTAAGCAATTGGCGCCTCTCCATCAGCTTGAGTCATCTTCTGGTGTTCAGTCATACTTATCTTGTGCATTGGAGAAAGAAAGCTTGAGCCTCACGACCTACTTTAATCCTTGCATCCCCTTGGGAATTTAAGGATGTTCTATTGGCAAATTGGTTGTTTGTGGAGTGGAGGGTTGGTCAATAGTGACAGGATTTTATGACGACCAGATTCTTGATATAAGGCCATGCGACATGTGATATATGATCGCATGCGCTAGATTGTTACTTACTCTACTTAGAGTAGAGGAGTTGGATAGATCCTTTAGATCAGAACAATGAAAACAACCTTTAAAGCATTAAGTCGGATCAGATAATGTGATACTTCTTTCGCTATATAGGAAGAAAAGATAATTACAAAGGGTGCCAGGAGGCGCCTATGCTATCCACTCGGCTTTTAACATATCCGTGTTCGGGAAGAATGAGGTACCAATGGCGCTGTTGTGTCTATCTTTCAAGACCCATGGGGTGGTAGTGATATATGTCGTTGTTTTGAAAGACCTGTTTGTCATTTCCATTCACCGCTAAATCAACCATCGTGGCGCCCAGTTCAACAATTCCAACCGACAAAGAGCTACCAAAAATGCACTGAAGTATGGTCGCACTTTTAGGTAGCACTCCTCCGGGCTTGACAAGATAAACCTTGAATGTGCTCTGAATGCCATCCTCTGAAGTTTCTAAGACCCTTGCCTCTGCTGCACCTCTAATTCTCCGTCCACTGGAGAAGTACCACAGAGACCGTTCTTCCTGACCTTCTTCTGAAGGTGGTTCGGTGAAGGCCCCGCCAAGCTGAACATATCGAAATTGCGGTGACCCAAGAGGCCGTGCCTTTATGCAATTGATGAATGTGAGGGGAAATTCAATGTCGACTCTCTCGTCGCCATTATATGTGCCCAAACACCAAATCGCAGCATCCGCAGTCTTTAATTCGTTGACGGTAGATTCGTCATACGAGGTGAAATCGTCGACAACGATTACTTTGACTTTGGGGTTTTCAGCCAAGGCTTCGAGATTCCGACGAGTGAGAAGTATAATAGAAGTTATGGATGGATGATTCAGGCATTGGGAAAGAACTTCACCCCCAATGTACCCTGTACTACCAGAAAGAACCACTTTCATTCTGAAGTTTAGAATTCAAAGATGATGATAGACCGGGATGGTGTTTTAATAGCACGGGATGTGTTTTGCCGAAAAACTCGTTCTATTAGCTTTGGTTGGAGTTTGATGAAATGAATGATGAAGAGGAAGTTTATCAAATTCTACTTGAAGATGTGGTAATCAATGAAATATATAGGTTTGAGATTCGACTGCCGAGATTCAATCCTAAGTGATGTTCGGTCGAGAATGGCGGTCGAAAGGCATAGCCGAGAAATGAGACAACACCTACGTTGCTTGGATGCCTATGTATTCTCAGCCCTCCCTCCTTTTGTTTTTATCATGACGCCTTTGGATTTTTCAGGATTCTCCTTCTTTAGTTTTCATGATCCAACAGGAAATCTTCGCGATTTAGAGAAAGATACTTTTTCATACAGATCACGTGAGAGGACCGAAGTATTTTCCTCCAATTTGGCCTTGTGATTGGCGCAGAGTAAGTAGCAATGCTCACCTCTTCGCTCAAATTGACTGACTGAGAGTTTGATACAATGAATGAATAATGATCGGTACTGAATCTATCGGCCTCAAACGATAGCAATTCACGACTGGTGTGGCATCGATGTTTATGAAGATGCTTGAGAATGAAATCAAATTAGAATAATTGAAAGGTCGGAAGGACTGCCTGCCAAAATGACCCCAGGGCAGCATGCTACGGCAGCTTTATAGAAACAGGCGTGGCTGGCGTCGAAAAGTATTGCATTCATCATAGGGTTAATACTTGTGAATATTGTGTTTGTGCATTGTCTTTGTTATACAAATGCACCAAGAGTGATAGTCGGATTTATTTCCCCTCTGAAGTGAACAGTGCAACTTTAACCCCATTGCGGCTCTCCGTGGTCATTCTGACCATCTCAACGTACTCCAAAACAGTATCTCTATTCTCAATCCTAGCAAATCTTCTTGTCATTCTGACGAGCAGATATACAGACTGCGTAAGTACTTGTTGTTGCGCAGGACAGATACGAGGACCACCCAGAAAGGGAGTAAACTCCCAACCCATTCTTTTATCGTTAAATCTCTGTGGTTTAAATTCATCAACATCATCACCCCCTGTGTGTGTTGGAATGTCAGTAGCTGTTTTTATCATAAATAGGTAATCATAAGAAGCAAATGAATCTCCGATCAAATTAAAAAAAATGACACACTCGCTGTTAATAAAATCAATGAATAAGCAATACTTACAAATATCTTTATCATGATTAGGACCCCAGATATTTAAAGCAACCACATCTCCCTGCTCTACAAATATAGGGGACTTTCCGTCCGGGCCACCGCCTGTCGGAAGAATTGTGTTCTTGAGCGCTAGACGCTGAGAACGACCCGCAGGACCTTGAAGACGAAGTGTTTCCTGAAGAACATTCCTAAAAGAACGTAGTGATTTTAAGGACTCAAAGGTGAGAGGTTGGTCACCAAGCCCAATACTTTCAGCTCGAAGTTGGGTCCATATCTCTGGATTCCTTGCGAGATGGAACAAACAATTCGCTATGAGTACAGAAGTTGTATCACGTCCAGGCATGAATACATTCATAATCTGATAGCGGAGTTGAAGAGGATCCTTGATTTGCTGGGCCATTTCATTCAGGAGAATATGTCGACGAACTGCATTTCCACTACTGGTACTTTTCTCCTCTGCAGGCCCCTTATTAAGCACTCGTTTGACATGTGCATCAACATACGCGTAAACCGTCCCAATATCCCTCTTCCAGCTACTTTCGAAGGAATAGATGAATTGGAGCTTTCCAGCCAACCGCCTTTTTCCAACACCCGCAAGGGCGCCATTGAAGGCCTTCAGTAATTCTTTAGAACTATTTGGGTCATCGGGCAGTTGTGCATCGATGGATTGCCCAAATAGAAACTCGGTCGAGAGATCAAGGAACTGAATCATGTCATGTTAATATTATATTAATCAGCTCGATATGTTTGTCCTTACCAAATTATGTAGTGGCTCTTGAAGATTGATTTCGCTTCCATCACTTGGGATAAGATCAAGAAATCTATCCACGTGGAAACCAAGGGTATCCATATCGGAGACTTCAGCCCTCGAGAATATATGCTTTACAATGTCCCTGGAGTGTTTCCACTAGTGGATTTAATTGGCATCTACAGGCAATGAACATATTAGGTATAGGCAAACGTACCGCTTTACCATCTAGAGAGAGGACTCCATCACCTAGAAATGCCTTGAAGAAGTTTTGAGCTGGCTTTCCATAGTCCTCAAAAGAAAGAGCACAAACTCGCTGTATGTTGCGAACGTCTATTGTATTGATAACTCTGGTGCCAAAGAAATTTTCTTCGAATGTTTTTCCGATCTCGTTGAAGTGTTTCATGAACAAGGCCATCTGACGACCTTCACTAACAGCCTTCACTCTCTTCTTCATCAAGTCGGTGCCCCATATTGAGTCTCTATGAGGGTACCTCGGAACCTTTTTGCAGCCATGCTGCTTAGCAGCTGCACTAAAAGCACGATAAGAATTCCATCTTTGGTGAAAATACACAAGTAGACTGACACAAACAGTGTAGATTAGAGCGCTTGTTACGGGTTGCATGGTCTTAAATTTTAAGAGGAACTCGAATATGAACGGAAATATGTTCAAGAGAAACAAGGAGAGAAAACTGCTTTTCAAAACAAAAAATTGGAAGATGATATAAAGCAACATGTATACTATACCAACAATATGACCTGATGTAGCATACTGCATAATCAGGATCGGCCGCCAACCCGGATTTAGAACATGTGTAATGTTAACTTTTGTTGGTTTCGTAGCTAGGCAGGTTTCTACTCGGACATTCGATCATGATATCTAATCTCTGCGAATAAGTCAAATCGCTCTAGAGACTTAAACGACTGAAAAATTCAGATGTAATTGAGGAGGATGGAAGTGACTCAGGCCAGCGTACGCAATTGTGGTGTTAAAGTCGGAAATGCACAATATTTGAGAATATGTTAGAAACAGATATACATTTTGACGTGCTGGCGTTCCTAGATGATTCCAACAGAGGTCCAACAAAAATTACGAATACGTGCCCCACAGATAACATATTGTGTGTGTGATTGTTGGTCTCCTTGTAAAATCTTACAATCAGTTTTGGACATTTTAGATGGTTGAGTTGTTTTATGCATGTGTTGCAAATGATGCGATGTATGAATATGCAGATGGTGGGAGAGGGAGGGAGGAAAAGGGTTTCGGCCGGAGTACGCAATTCCAAGTCAATAAAAACCAAGCGAACACCACTATCTATTTGTAATGGCAACATTGAATAACGGACTGGATCTCATTGCTGTAGGAAATGATCTCGTTGATATTCTTGAGATTCAGAAGAAGAAGTGTGGCACTGGATAGCGTTGACCAAGCATGAACTGCCAAAACACTCATGTAATTCTTACACATTAGTGTCCTACATACCTATGTAAATGTTCCGGTATAAATCGATTTAACAAAACAGAGATACTGATACTTAAAATGCGAAAGCGGGTGAAAGAGACCTCTAGTAGGCGTAGACCTGTAATATATGAACTCTTCATTTCCCTTACTTTTGGGTGTAATACGGGATGACGGGCGAATGAGATGTCATCCTTGACGAGGTTCATTCATACTACACTATGAGCGGGACATGAAGAGAGAGGGGGTTAGGGATAGGGATGGAACCACTCGGAAAGTTGGGATGAGGATATGATGTAAGAAAACAACCAGAACTGTATATGAATTGTATTTGATGCTAGACAACTGCAAGCAAACTGAACCTAACCATGCTTTGAGGAAGGCAACTATACCAGCACTTAATTTTATGACCACTCTTTGAATGAATGCAAGGAAGCAAGCCCATAGATGAGTAGGAAATAATGAAGGGGATATACCACATTCGAAGCAGAACGTAGTGCACTTTGTCCTGCGCAGAGGGGATATTATATTTTGCCAATTCCTAGCAGTACACAGAAGACCTATTTCCGGGGTTTTGTTTCATTCCATTCCATTTTGATCCCAATTGTCATAATCATCTCAAGCCAAGCAAAAACTTTCCACCACCTTCTTTGCCACCCTCACCACCGCCGGGTAAGTAAGTGACATTAGGATTGCTTGCTAAGGTCTGTGCAATCTCCCTGCTAGCCTCGATTCTTCTAATCATAATCAGACCATCTCCTGCCTTTGCAACAGCCTTGCTAATAGTGTCTGCACTCTCTGCTTCACCCTCTGCACGGATAACGTTGGCCTGTCTTTCTTGCTCTGCCTTCTCGACAATAAATCTCGCTCTTTCGGCATCTTGTTGAGCAATCTGCTTTTGTTCGACGGCGCGAGTGAATTCTTTACCGAATGTCATATGGGTGATTGAGACATCTTCAAGTGCAATATTGAATTCTTGAGCACGCTTGAGGAGATCTGATCGAATGCGGTTGCTGACGGCTTCACGCTGGGTGATGAGTTCAGCAGCATCAAACTGGGCAACGATTGATTTAAGGACTTCGTTTCCGATAGAGGGCAGAACCCTCTCATCATAATCTTGACCCAAGTTCTAGTGTGGATTAGTATGCCATCGGCTTAAAATGGGGAGAGGCGACAAACCTGGTAAATCTTGGGTAGCTGTTGGACCTCAGGTCTATGTAGAACTCTCAGTGTCAAGCTGACCATTTGCAAATCCTTACTTCCAGTGGTCGTTGAGATATTTCTTGGTTTCGTGCGTACATCGTAGATAATGCTTCTTTGTAACCAAGGAATCAAAAAATGTGTACCCTCATTGACGACTGTCTCCTTGACTCCGGATAAACGATCGAAAATCACTGCTCGAGAGCCACCCTTGACATCGTATATAGACGACTGAACGGCGGCAGTTGCAATTCCCAAAGGAACGATGAACTTGTAGAGGTTATTTAGAGATTGCGCCATCTTGAGTGTTGTCTATGGGTGGTGGAAATGGAGATGTGCGGGAGATACTTTTCGAAGGCGGGATATCTAGAAGCTCAGTGCGGAGGGGAGGCTCACTGCAGCTTGACATTTTTGGCGGAATCTCGCGCTAGTGATGATTGGGTGGGCAAGGCAGGGGTGTCGGATGAATGCTTGGCGATTATAATCCGATTGCCCGACTTCTATTCAGAATATTAGAACTTCTGCTTTGACGAATAATACCTAACAATTGAATCTGTTGGCACTTCGCACATTATTCAAAATGAGACCTACTTCAATTCTTAGATCTGGTGGTGACGGAGAGGTTGGAAAGTACGGAAAGTGAGTATTTCCAACAAGATTCCTACTGCGAAGGAGGAAGAATCTTCACGGGTCTTCACGGGTGGCCAGACAATTACATGAGTGTGGGAGGTTATGGTTTCCAAGATGTATGGCATGCTAATATTTATGCTACTTCACAGATATCTTGGTGGCTGGGGTAACTTGGGTGAGTTTGAAGAGCATTTTCTACCGCTACTCGGCATTCTGGAATCCCCGCACAAATCACTCGACACACACAAACCTCGCGAGATGTCGGAGGGGGGTGCAATGAGTAGAAGAGGATGAAGAGGGGATTACTCAAGCGCCGACAATACGAGATCGATCATACCGTATCGAGCAACGAGGAGGAACATTTGACTGATGTGGGATATACAGGCTCTCAACCCCAGAAGGGTGTCGCATCATATGCACTCAGTGCCAACCGACAACGTCCTCTCGCCGGTGCCTTGAACGCAGCTATCTTCAACACCTGGAGACGATTCCGTGGCCAAGTCCTTTATGTTGCACCACCATTTATTATCGCATACACTGCCATGGAATGGGCTATTGAGAGGTTTGTCTTACTGTCTGTGATATCGCCAACGTGCATTGCGTTCTAATTAGTTTTGGTAGAAACGAATACTTGAACTCTAAGCCAGGAAGACTGGAGTTTGGTGGCGAGGAATAGAGCTTGGAAAGTACATGACCAGCCTGCTAAGCATTATTTGGTGTTGGACCTTTCCTGATCCTCCAAACCGAAGAAGCTTGGTGGCTATGCGAGATTCAAGGAAGAAATAGGGGTGTAAAGTATTAGATTGGGATTTTGCAATGCATCATGGTTTCTAAAAAAGTGTTTCTACACAAGTCACTAGGGTGTGATTTTTGCTATTTGTGAAAGCATTATGATATGGTGATTTGGACATGAATGAGGCCGATAATACAGGAGGACATGATATTACTTAAAATCCACATATCCGTGAAGTGTTTTATATAGTTCAAACCTTTGATGGTGTTATAACATCATTTTAGCAATTCCATTCCACCAGGGCGTGCCCAAGTTACAGCCTTTTGAGAGTTTTGGAGAGTTTTGGAGAGTTTTTATAGCAGCTCCCGATCTAGTTTAGTGCGAATTGACCCGCCGAACATTTTGTAAAAAAGTTCTGAACCTTCAAGCTCTGATTTCATCGCAAAACAACAAATTTGTCCAATTAACACCACCAACAATTTTGTATTGTACATTAAATATTCTTTCTAAAGTGAAAGTTTAGGATATTCAAAATGGGCAAAGATAAATCCGAGAAGCGCGACAAGAAGGAGAAGAAGGAGAAGAGAAGTGAAACCGATGGTGTTAAGAAATCTTCCAAGAAGGACAAGAAGGTCAAGCTCAGTGAAGACAATGTCGCTGCTGCCATTGCAGAAGTTACCAAGGAGCCAGAGGATGTTGAGGTCATGGATATTGTGATTGAGGAGGATAAGGAAGGTGCAGCTGCCGAGATCAAACCAGTAGGAGCTTTGGTTCCGTTCGCAAACCCATTGGCCGATGAAAAGGTCGCAAAGAAGGTGCTCAAGAGTGTTAAGAAAGGTAAATCAATTCGCCCTTTCCCTTTTCCAATTGTTGCGTAGTCATCATTGTGGACGCATTTTTGCGATGAAAAAAACTGACTGTCGTTCGTAGCTGCCAAAAACAAGACTCTTAAGCGTGGTGTTAAGGAAGTCGTCAAAGCTCTTCGCAAATCTCCTCAAGGTGCCAGCAATACCGTTTTCCCAGGTGTCGTTATCCTTGCTGCAGACATTTCGCCAATGGATGTCATTTCTCATATTCCAATTTTGTGCGAAGATCACAACGTACCATACATCTTCGTTACCAGCAGAGCCGAATTGGGAGCAGCAGGTAACACAAAGAGACCTACGAGTGTGGTAATGGTTACAGAGGCGAGATCGGGCGCAAAGAAGGCCGAGAAGATCGAGGGCGAGGAAGAATTCAAGGAAGTCTACAAGGATTTGGTCAAGGTTGTGGAGAAGGAGGCCAGGAATGTCAGAGTCTAAAAAGAGTGGTGTTGGAGAAAAACAAAAAACTTTCTGCTTATGGGTTGGCTACAGATACACTTTTCGGCTGTATCATATTAAGAGCATATCTTACCGTGCTTGGACATTACAATGGCGTTTGTGAGTATGGATAGGGCTAGGAATAAAGAAAACGTTCAATTTTAATTCAACCTTTGTGTAGAATGCATGCATGAAGAGATTTGGGTGCTGTCATCTGTTTGTTTTGCTAAAGTCCCGCAGCTTCATATTATCTACAGTACGTACTAATGCGCCACGCTCTGCACGCTCAAACCCCTCAAATTCAGTTTCTATCTCTGTCCTTGCTCTCGATCAGTTACCAGTGGATGGCGAGAGAATGTCATGTTCTTCTGCTGTATAGCCTGCCTTGGTAATTTTCCCCTCGACTGACGAACTTTGACCAACACCATCATAGCCACGAGTGTCTGAGCCAGCCACGCTGCCATCATTCCAGTCTCCCAACGACAATCGTCCGACAGCTTGAGCAACCGCGGGTTCCATCACTTCGCCTGCATCTGTCTCCTCTGTTTCCCCATGCACACTTGTCTTAGCCTTTTGCTTTTCGCTCTCAAAACTTTCTCCCTCTCCAAGCAACATTGTTGAGGATTCTTCAATCATCTGTGTATGCTCCTTTCCTTCCAATGACGACGAGCACTCTGCACTTGTTTTCAATATTGCTTGCGTGTTATTATGCGTTTCTTCACTTTGCGATTCCTCCTCCCAGTCTCCATCGTAACCGCGATCGATTTCCTCCTCGGCTTCTCGCAAGTCCTCTGTCCATCCTTGCATTCTCTTAGTCTCTTCTTCTATCGCATCAAGAAATATCCCCACCGCCTCCATCTTCGAACCTATTGGCGTATCACTGTCGTCTAGCTTATCTAGTAGGGTCTTCTTTATCTTCGCAGAATGCTGGAGTTCCTCTCTGAGTTGTGTGTGTCTTCTTGGTAGATCCAACAGTGTCTGTTCGGCTAAGCTTCGATTTTGTTGCTGATTATTTTTTTCCGCAGCTTCCAGTTCTGCGGCATCCAAAACCGCCAATCTCTCTCCTAGGTGAGCCAAATCAATACGAGTATATGGTCGATTGTTGCTTGTGATATAATTAGAGTTAGAGTCTTCTATATCTTTTTCCATGATGGTATCACCCTTGATGTCTGGAAGTGTGTTGCTATCGCGGTCAAGCTTTTCAACCTCAGGAATGGACTCATTTTCCTCAGCCTTAGCTCGTGGAAGAGACGAAATAGGTGCTGTTACGCTAGCTTCAATGGCATGCGGTGTGTCAGACGACTTCCTTGCAGAATACCAGAACCTAGAATCTTCGAGTTCTTGAGGCACACTACCATGACCAATTGGACGTGGTTCTCGGCCCCAATACCAGGTTGTAGATTTGCCTGGTCGTACTGGAGTGGTATCTTCCCAGTCAGTAGCAAACATGTTTGTCTTGACTCGAAGTGCGATGTTTTCATCAGAAAACGAACCTGGAAGCACTTGTTGTGCTGCATCTTGTTCTCCAAGAGCAAGTCCAATTTTTGTTTGAGAAGCAATTCCTGAGTCTGCAGTAGTACAGCGATCAGGGAGTCCCTGAGAAGTGATATCCTGATGATCAGAAGTTCCGTTTATAAGTATTCGAGGAGCAGGATGCTGATCAAGCGTATCGTGTTCAACCGGGAGGCTGTTCGGCTTTATATGAGGAGCAGTTTCTTGGACAGCAGCGACTTGGCTTCGTCGTGAAATGCCTGTCAAGAAAAGACCTGCACTCATTCGAATTTTCTCTGCTACCACCTTCGAAATTCTTGGCTCTTGCGTTGGATAAACCCATTCTAGTTTGCCAGTCTGAGGCCAGAATACCAATCTTTCTGGTTCTCCGCCATCTGCGAAACCTGCGTCTCGCAACAAATTGACATATTGGAGACCATAGTCAGGATTCTGACCTGCCTCCATCAACTTCATCGCGATATTCGACTTCGCCTTCCGAAGAGTTATCGCCAACTTCTCCATGAGCCCTGTTCTCCAGATCTGTTCCAAATGTCCCCAGCCGTCTCCATGCAAAACCCACTTCTTGGCTGTGCCCCAGCGCTGATCGAATCTAAGTTGCTCTTCGGCGACTCCCAACCAATAGTTCAGCACTCCCGCACATTTCTTTACATGTCCAAGCCACTCCTTTGCTGCGGTCTGTTCAGCATGAATTTGTTCATCTTGCTCTGTCTTCATCAGTCCGTCAACCTCCTTCACGATATCCATACAGCTATCCACGAAGAATTTCCGTGTTGAATCTGATCCATATGCAATCAACAACCATCTCAAAGCCGTTGAAGAAGTTACCGTTTGATATTCCAGCACTCTTCCGAGTTGATATCCTTCCTGCTGACCAAAAATGGTAGTGATGTGGCTAGCAACGCTTAGTGAAGAAATAAGACCACGCTCCAGTGCTTTATCAACATTGTATTTGAATTCTGCATAATCTGTATTGAGAAATAGCTGTTCGATAAATATATGATTGAGCCATGTTGTATTGAGAGACTCTCCTTCGACTGGACCTGTCAAAATTGTTAGCAAAAGGGTTGGGAGACAGGGTTAAGTGCTTACCGAGCGTCGAAAAGGAGTTCTGATCTGTGGTAGAATTGTTTTCCTCCATATCTACCAAGTTTCTGGAAGAAATGGAAAAGTTGTATGGTGTGTATGGATAAGCTCAAGAGAAGTTATGGTTTCGAAAGAGATTTGAAATGTGTTTTGTAAAGTGATTTGTGTGATTATTTGTAAAGTGTCGGGATGGTGTTGACACAAAGAAAGAGTGGTTTAAATACTGCGACCAGATTGATAAATTTTCCGGTACACGTAAATGTGATTGTTTGATAAGTTTAAGTTCACACAATATCATTACAATCATAGACTGTGTTTACAGCTGTGAATAATTAATTATTTCGCTTGTTACAAACTCTCTCTTGAGTGAATGTTCGCTGTGTTTATTGACCATCTTCAAACAATTCTTTTAATGTCTGACAAATGTTTTTGGTGCTTCAGTTTCCTTAAAGGAATTACAATCCTTTGTTCTACCACACCCTCTTGGACCTGATCAATTGTGCTTTTCAGAGCTCCCATGAACAAGCCTCACAGTTCTTTTTCCTTTCTTTAGCCTCACAAGAGAGTTCCGATGCGAGTGGGCAATCTTCCACAGGAAATTTACAACCTGCGGGAAATATTCTTCCCACTTTATGAATCCTGACTACTCTACGTGAATGTGGAGGCCACGATATGATCTATATAGATGCTGATTAGCAACTACGTCTCTAAAGCCAATTGAATAACGAAACAGATGCTAAATTCTACCCTTACAAGTATAACGAACACCGAAATCATATGCCGCAATGTTTTCCAATAGATTTGGGGGGCTATCGGATCCAGCAGCAGAAAGCTCAGGGGAAGTTCGCGAAGGACCTCTCTCGCTGTCAGAGGTGAAGGTATCAGATTCGTCGTCGGTGAGAGCCATGGTAGCAGTTAATCAAGAGTCTTGTTTGACGATAATTATCTGGACGTCTGAATGCGTCTGAATGTATCTGAATACTACGCAACAGGAAGAGGGACCCAAGAATAGGAAACGATGAGGTAGTCAAGCAGACCGACAGATACCAATCGAAAGACTCGTACGAAGCCAGGCACGAATATTGAAACGACGTGAGGTCGGCAAGCAAGTGAGGAAACGCTGATATAGATCCAAAAAGATTATTAGATGTATATAAGTTGTGCGCTGTTAATATATGCTGTATTGTATGTGATGTAGAGAAGAAGAGAGGAAAATATAGATATTCAAACAAATGGATACACGTCGTTGCATCTTTTTTATGCAGATAAATAATACAACACACTGGACGAGGTAGAAGCTGGTGTCAGAATCTACATGAGAGAGGTGGAAAGAGACGTAAAGTAAGAATGCATCTAGGTGAGATATTCTTTTCTCGTATACTTCTCATATAATTACTCTCATTCTCATGATTTCATTGAGAAGGGAAGTCTGGATTGAAATTCTTGAAAAGACCTTTCTTTGCTTGAACCCATTTAACATATTCAAATTCGTAGAAACAATGAGTCTTCTCGAAATACTCGATTCGTTCAAAATACACAGGTGTTCTCAGAGCTAGAAACTCGCATCAAGTCTTCTGGTTTAGATCACCAGTGGATGTACGGGCTGACAGGACACTGCGAAAATGGACTTAGGAATATCTCCTAACGTATCCTTTCGCATAACTTAGGAAATTTTATAATGATTTCTTAGAGATTGCATAATAAAAAGATAGATTCTGATATCAAAAATTTGGCAAATAGATTTGTTAAAAATTTCAAAAGTCGACTAGTGTCCCATCAGTCCATACACCCACTGGTGGACTAATGAACATCCCGATCGAGAGTGCACGTACAGTGATTAATTTTCCATTGACTATATTGTGAGGGGTATTTTAATATTGACGCCTATTATGCTCATCCCGTATCCCTTAAGCACCTGCTGCCCTCGCTCTAGCCTTCCTCGACTTCTCAAACCCTTTCATGCTACGCCTTGGTCTAGCTTTAGTTTTCGTCTGCGGCTTAGCATTGAGCATCCATGCATTCATCGGTCTTCTAGCAGCGATGAATTTGCCGTCAGGCGTAAACACTTCTACTGATGGCCATGCCTTTTCGTCCGCTGATTGCTCCTCATCTCCCCATCCCCAGGTGGTATCGTTTACAGTATTACTTTCGGCTGCATCTGTCTTCATGAGACGTCTTTTGCTAACCTGGGCAACCAGCTCAACCCATCCACACCCCTCGATTAAAATATCTGTAGAAAGAATTTGAAACGGGAGTTGATCTACTTTGCCTTTATCAGTCAATACAGTGGAGCTTGACTTCAAACGCGCCTTCGTAACATCCCATTTTAGAGGGAAGATACCAGCCAAAGCGATCTTCTCTTCACTTCCAGCAATAGTAATGTTATCAATAAATGGCTCTTTACCTTTGCTTTGCATAAGGATAGCCTTCTCGGTAGACGTTAGATGAGCATCGGGTTTTATTGATGTGAAAGCATAAGCCATCATGATGATATCTGGATCTGTGGGTGTAATCCTGATAAGACCACCGCCTAGTACTAATGACTGGCCAGGTTTCATCACTTTTTGTTCTGGCTTTATCCGAGATCTCATTACTAACGAATTTCGATATTCTGGCTGAACATGAAGCTCAAGTTCACCTCGTGATACTCCAGGAAGATCGATGAGTTCTCCCTTCCCATTGCCGAACGGAACTCGAATTGGTGATGCAGTAGTGCCAGGAAGAGATGACACGAGTGGCATTGATGGATATGCTGTTTCCTGTTGTGCTGGGGGAAGAAGAGACATCGTGTCAATCAATTCATCACCAGGAAGTTCATTCTCTGGCAATGCCTTGTCCGCCTTTTCTGATTCTACCCCCATCGCTTTGAAGGTACCCATAGGTAAAGTAGCCTCGGGGGTAATATTGTTATCAATATTTGAACCTATCGACGGAGATCTTCCGATAGTGGTTTGCTTCGCCTCTCTTCTATCTTCTAGGGGATCCATTGGAAGAGGTTCTCCAACGATCACCTCATTTCCTCCCCTTCCCTTTGGAAAGATCTCATGAAAAAGCCGACTCTTTCCCACATTAACCTTCCCAACCATCCAGTTTCCCCCTCCTCTCTCAAAAACATCTTCCTTCAAATTCTTTGTCCACCACCCTCTTTCCGCACTAACACATCTAACATTCCCCAAGCGAACCCCTTTTCCCGCTCTCCCTAACGCATCCCTCAATACACTCGTTAAATAAGGCATCATCCCGTCAACCTGCGTTTTCGTTGGAGCTAGGAGATCCGACCGGGTAATCACAAAATCGACTTCCATCTTCCTATCACCGTAAAATTTTCCTGTTCTCGAACGACGATTGTGGGATCGCTGGGGCGTCAGGTTCAACGTCTTGTTTATAGCGGGTATGAAAGACATGGGGAAGTCGGCGGCATCTATAACATGGTATATATGATTGTATTTGTATGGAGATTCGTCGATCGTTTGTTGAAGTGCTCGTACAGAAGGATGGTATATAGAAACACCCGTTTGGTGGTTTTTGAGATTGTGACATCGATCGCATACTGGCTGTTCTATGGATGTAGTCGCGGACGAAGGTTTTTCCATTCCCAAAGTCTCGAGAATCGTACTATCGACATTTTCCAGCGCCTTTTTGACTATCTCATCCTCTGCCGTGGCTTTTGTATTTTTCACCGAGTGTGAAGTCCCCAGAAAATCCTTAACTGACCTCCTTGTCAACGAATAATAGCCCGCTTCATCCTCGACTGTCGTCTGTGATAATGCACCGCATCCGGCGCATTGTGAGGGTAATCTTGCTACAGCTTGCGCTGAAGCAATAGAAGAAGATTCCGATGTATCTTGGACCTGGGTTTGAGCTTGCGACTGGACATATCTTCGCTGTATCCTAACACTCTTTCGCGGTTGGTTATGTACCAGCTTCGGGGATTGCAAATTTCGCGCAAGTAACGGGCAAAGAAAAGTAGGTATCTCAGCGACCGCGGATTCCGCCTGCTTTGAGAATCTCAGGGCAAGTCTTCCATAATTAGAGAGTGGCATATCAATTATCGAACGGGCGTATGGTACTTAAAAATGATCGCGAATTCGCAGGACATTCATCCCACCAAAAAATAAATTTGGTCGGAGGTCGGAACTTTTTATCGACAGGGGGTCAAAATCCTAGTCTCAAAACCTCAGAAATATATTCACAAGTCAAGCTTCCTCCGAACCTCACCCCACGATCTTATACAGTATATTTCATTTATTGTATTGACGTTCACATATTCAAGATGGTCAACTTACTAAAACGCATGGCCAAGCTTAACTCTGTAAGTAATCGTACATTTCTCTCGCAATGGTCGCAGATGCTAACAGAATTCGCAATATAGAAGGTAAAGATTTGCCCATAAATGGTATTTAAAGATTCGAAATTGACTTTCCTGCTTCTGCGCAGTTACTCGGCATAAGATTAGGACCCGGCGCAGCGATTCTCCCACCAGAAGTTACCAGAATACATATGGACTTTGCTTTTGGACTGAATGGACATCTCGGACCAAAGTACCTATCCCCTTCCCCTCCATCTACTTCCCATCTGTCCCCCCACTCCCTCACCCCCGTCCCCTAGATATCCAACCCCAAAAGCTAATCCTCATCCTCCCCAGGAAATTCTGGCGCAACTGCCTTCCCCGCCTCAAATACCACAACCCCGCCGTTCCCATGACCGTCAAACGCAGCCAAGACACCTCCCTCCCCGCAACCCTAACCATCCACTTCACCGACGCCTCCCACGCCTCCTCTCCACCCCCCATAAACAGCACCGCCTCCAATCCTGCTGCCCCTTCCACCCCAGGCGCTCCCACAGCCTACACGAAAACCATCGAATGCAAGCACCGCGACGAGAACGCCATCCTCTTTGATCTGATGGAATTAACCAAGGCCAAGAAAGTCCTACCTACCGCAGCCGAGAAACAAATGTTGAAGGATTTGGCGGCGATGAAATTGAAGAGTCAACAGGATTCGCTGTTGAGTGCGGCTGTCAATGAAAAGATTCGGGCTGAGAAGGCGATTTTGGATCAGGCGAGAGGTGAGGTCGCTGCTGCTTCTGCCGATAATTAGAGAAGGGGAGCGAGGTAACGACGAAAGATGGTTACGGGGTGTAGAGAAAAACAGAAGAACTACGAAAACGAATGGACATGGTTGTAGAATATGTTGTATATATACCAGGCGTTGAGGAGGAATACTCACATGATGGGAAAAACGAAAATCAAAATGACTAGAAAAAAGTAAGGTATTTGATACATCACTTTATATGGGAAAATATGGTTACAGTAATAGTCACACAGATAGGGGATGAGAGAAGTGATATACGAATGATCATTAACGAAGAGACATTATCTCGTCTCATCTAATTTTGATGAATGGCTCTGCTTCTCACGTAAAAGGCATGCAATCTTTGCCGGAGTCCAAGTTCAGTCCAATTCCAAGACTCATGCAAATACCTACTCAGTTGTCCAGTTCCTGAACGACAATCGAGTTACCAACGCCAATGCCGACACCAAAACCCTTGGGGCTCCATTGAATACAAAATAAAGACGCCCATCTCCACCAAACATTAACATCAGTAGCACTCTATCTAAAATGCTTTCCTTCTCTTTCTATTCTGACCATGGCCCCACCCACACAAACTACTCTCTCCAACACCTATCCCTCACTACTTCAATCCAAATCCCTCACTCTCATGGACTGCTCTCCAAAGTTTTGCCTCCAACTTTTCCCTCGTCGCATACCTCCACAAACTCAACGCATTAAAGCACGTCCTTGCCACCGGGAATCTCTCACTGTCATCCCCCAAACAATTCAATTTAATAACCAAACTAGCTGCACCCATTGCCGGGATACAAGAACTGCCTGTGATAAAGCTCAAAAGTTTTCTCTGATCCTTTGGATCCGCTTTTTGAAAGGATTCCCAAAACCATTGAATGACTGGTTCGCGCTCTGCTGCATCTTTTGGTCCCCAATTTTCACACACTGAGACGGCGCGGAGAGAACTTATGTCTAGAGGCTCATCGGAGCCTCTAATGAGGAGTTCAATTTCTTCGGGTCGGAAAAGTGATAAAGCGTTTCCTCCACAAACAGTAAAGAACCCACGTTTGAAGGGTTCAAATTGTCGAGCTACGGCACTGTCTAAAAGATATCGCACGTAAAGATCCACAAATTCTCTTCGATTGGAGTTCGTCACTGGTTTCTTGTCCCCATCAGGGCAGAGAGGCACTTGGACTGTTTGTCCATAGCGATCAACGTCCGCTACGAAATCGCGACAAAATGTTTCCTCGACGTCTCCATCAAACTCAAGGAGTTGTCTCAGCCCATGAGCCAGAGCAGGTCTATATTCTGCCAAGTCTTCCAGAGAATATGTCATAGAAGGCTTCGCATGTGATGTTGCACCGGGTGCTGCAGCTGGGGCAGCGGCGAGCAATTTTCGGAAAGCGAAAGGAGGCAGCGCCACATCGAGAATGGTTGAATTGTAGATAGCCAAACCAAGAACAGCCCCAACAAGAAAGTATTGATCGGTTGTTTCAAAGCTATTAGGATTAAAGTAACAGAAATGAGAGTCCTCATCGTATGAGAACATGCCTGCTTATTGTTAGTTTACAGTCTGAAATGACATCGGAGGAGAAACATACCATGATCAGGATTAAAAACTTCTCTCACAAGAAGAAGGAACCATTCTTTTCTCAAACCACCAGCATCAATACCCTCTTCGCCCTTGAATTCTATTTTCAAACTCTTCTTGATCTCCTCACCACCAGTTCCCACAACCTCACTAACCCCTTTCAAGCTATCCTCCACCAAGCACTCTCGTCTGACTTGCAAAAGAAGATTCTGACTGACTAGTTTACGTGTCATGATGCTATTAAAGAACGCCTCTCTCGCCTTCACTTCCATTTGACGTCGAGCATCATGCTCCATGATTTGGATTTTTGCCCAAATGCTGAGAAAGAATGGATATTGGCAAAAAGCAAACTTGCTACGCTTGCTTTCCCAAGCCTCAAAATCAGCGACAAGATCGGAATAATCGAGCAAGGTATTGTAAAAGTGGCTTGTTGGTAACATCTGTCCATGTGCGGCCAGACCTCTAATAGGGGTTCCAATACTAGGTTCCGTACTTTTTGACAGATACTCGGCTGGCGATTGAACGCTACTGAGTAACTTGCCTTTTCTATGCAACCCACTATTATTGGCTGAGAAAAGAAGTGCCATCACCCTAGCAGCCGCCCTGATCTGCCAATCATCACTATATACAACGGCTTTTTGTTTCGTCTCCTTTTTCTTGTTGGTACTCTGCCCAGCTTGAAGAGCCGCGTGAAAAGCTGCAGCATTATTATGGGATTCTCTAGAACTCATGTGAGGGACTAAGCCAGAAGTAAAGTCGGGTCGATCAGCCTCGCGAGGTTTCCCATGCTGTCTAGTGAGTCTATAAGTGACAAAGCTGCCGACCAACTCTGTGGTACGTTGGAAATGACCCTCTGGATATCTAGCGAACCACGAAACTATATGATGATGGCATTCATTTGGAGTATTGGAAAGCAGTCCCACAATACGTTTGATGATTCCTGAGTGTTGGCCGGACGCTCCTTTTGTAGCATTCGGCGGTTGTTTAGAAGAAGACAAAGGTTGACCTCTAGTTTTAGTCACATTGAGATCACTAGCTTCCGGTCTCTGGTCATTTGGTGGCGCTCTCGGCCCTGTATTTCTTGAAGCGGTACCATTTCCAGGGTACAGAAGAGGATTGGCTAGAATGATCAAGAGAAATCGGAGATTATCAGGCTCCTTTAGAGGACGCCCGGGACGTTTCAATAGACTTTCCGTAGCCTTCAACAAAATTCTCTGGAGATGCAACTGAGCCTCTGTGATTGTATCCTCAATTTCGGCAAGCTCGCTATCAGTGGGCGCTTGAATGACCGGGCTAGATCGACGTGATATCAATTCATCCAGTTTGCGATGCCAAATTCTTCCCGGATGCGATACTACATGATACCATTCATTGAGGTCAGGCCAGTCAATACGAGGTGATTTGACTGTAGTAAGATCGCAATTAGGATTCGTCCGTATCGTTTCAACAGGCCGTTGGCCGCGAGTTTTTTCAGGGGTTTCTTTTTGATTGCCAGTCCACCAAGAACCATTTTCTGCAATATCTCCCAGCATCAACATTCGGGGATCAAGTTCTTCCAAGGGAGTCTCTGACTGCGGATCATTTTCGTCTGGAATAGTGGCCATAAAATTCTTTAGACCACTCTGACTTCCTGCCCTAGGATTGGGATGTTGTCGCATAGTACTAAACGAAGTATTGATACAATCGAACTGGCTAAATGATACTGTAATATATTCTTCCAAGGGTCTAAAGAGGTTTCTGGTGACATTATCTTGTCTTCCGTGCATAGGTTCATCGAATTTTCCCGGTGGATGCGGAGGACTTCTACTTGGCGGTTGACTAGCCAATTGTTTGGAGTAAGTACCAGAGCCCATTCGATCACGTTTTTCCATATGGGCGCCAAGGAAACTGCCAGGGGATGAAGTTGAGTAGGGCATGGAACGCGAACCCGGCCGTCTTTGAGCGTCTAAACTTGGGCGATCTCCAGAACTGTTTCCGCGTCCAGGAGGGGGTCTAATGGGAAGTGCTTGTGAACCAGGTTGATTGAAATGTCGGGGATACTGATATTCTTGTGGGGATTCCGTCGTTTCGAATGTAGGTGACCTTGGCGGACTCGACAGTGTATTACAGGTATCGGCTTCGTCATGCTTTAGTCGATTGATTAGGTAGGTAGTTATACATCGTTCCGCAATTCTTCGAGTTTTCTCCACAGATAATGGCGCCACTATAAAGGTCAGACATGAGATCTAGAATAGATCATCCCGCTCATAGCATACCTCTAGAGAATTGGGGTTTACTCAACCCAGAGTAAGTCGTAGATTTACCACCTCCTGCCACTCTGAGTCCATCATTCTGAGCTGGGATGTATGGCTGAAGATCGTTCACTGTCATACAAACTTTGCATCGAAACGTATGAAGTTCTTTCGGCCAACTCACGCTCGAATTGCAAGTCATACACTTTCCCGTCAAAAAATCCTTGTCTGGCACCCTCGAAGACCTAGCCCCTGTATTATGTTCCGGTGATGTATCGTCGTCATCAAAAAACCCAATTCCAGGTGGTGTCGGCGCGGTCACCTTCTTCTTGCTATTAAACAGCGACGGGAAAGGGTGGCTCATAGATCTCCCATGGCTCGAAGTCGGTTTGGAGGAATTTGAGGAATTCGCACCCGAGGGACCTGGCCGACCGGCCGTGGTCAATGTCGGAATACCATACGCATTATCCAAGATATCTGCCTCCGTAATCTTTGCTCTCCCTCTTATTCTCGTCGGCGAATCAGGTGCTGGTCCAACGGTAGCAATGCTCGAGCCAGAATCGATCCGTGCGCTCGAAGAAGCAAGTAGGCGGCTAGACCAAGGTGCCATTTTATTATTTTCAAACGATGTCTGCGAAGTGCAGGCGTTCTAGTTTGACCATCGGGTCCTCCAAAAGTATTTTGCGAAATCAATTGTAAATGTTGTGCGAGGGCAGTAGCTCAGTTCCCTTCTCGTGTGGTATATCCAAGCTATCTTTTGTTTTCGTAATCGAGAGTCCGTCCGTTCGTTCGTGCTTGAACTTTAGGGGCAAGTGGTCTCGGGCTCTTTCCTAAAAGTACTCTCATGAAATTAACATCTAAATTACGAGTAGTGAATGTTGCATTAGATTTTGACCTTCGTCCCAAATCTCCAAAGGGGGATCTTCTCCAACAACAAACATGGATTGGTTATTTACCGTTATCGTATAAATTTATATTGTTAATCTTGCAGGTTTATCTCAGTACATATTGGGATGGATGTGGGCTAAGGTAGGTTTCCCCACAAGAAATGTCTGGATCTGATGTACGACCTAGTAGTAGTAGTAGTAGTAGTAGTAGTAGTGTCAAGGTACTGGTAGTGTACGGAGTAGCAGTAGTTTATGCATAATTGGAATGGCTTGAAAACGGAAGTGTTATTCCTTTGCCAAGAAATGAGAAAATCTTCCCTGGTTCAACTGGTTGACAAGAAGAAATGGAGGAAGAATGACACGAGACATGTTGAAACGACCTCGGAGTTTATCGAGAAGAAGTTAGGATTTGGAAGTGTGTTGTATTACATTACATCGATGTTCGTGATGAGATTTTAAAATTTGTTATGAAATATATATGGGGAAGAGAAGAATGTAGGGAAATAACTTAAACCATTTCTAATCATTTCTTGGCTTCCCGAGAGAGCGAGATTGTGTTGAAAATTCATCCCATGTATTCACATTTTCATTGGTCACAGAACAAGATATCCAAAAATCCATGATACTTTCACATAGTAGAAGATTCGTAAATTCATAAAAGTTTTGGGTATGATGGGAAAGCTATGCATTTTTGCATTAACTACCAGTGCGCCATGAGGCCATAAAATAATCCATTCATCCCATTGCCCAAGCAAGCAACAACACCTAACCAACACCTGATTACATTTATCTGTATCTTTGCAACTTGAGGGTGTTGTGCTTCTTCCAGGTCTTTCTGCGGCCAGCGGTGGTCTTGTTGAATCCGTGACCCTTTCCGAGACCACGGGACTTCTTTCCGGTGGCAGTCAATCCACGAGATTCTCTGTGCTTGTGGACTGGGTTGACGATCCAGTTGATACGGGGATCGCGACGGATGGCCTTGTGTTGAGGGTCAACGAGGATGATCTCGAAGTATTTGTAGGTGGAGTCTTGGTTGATCCAGTAAGAGTTCAAAACTCTCAAGTTGGCGCAACGACGACCGACACGCTCCTCAGCGGTGGACTTGAGCGATCTTTGGTACTTGAGTTGGTTAACTCCCTGGTTGGTTGGCTTTCCTAAAATGCGAAATTTGGGTTAGTAAATGCAATTTTTTGGAAGAGAAAGCATCTTCTTCTTCTGTCGAATATGGGATCGAACGTACCGTAGGTGGCACCCTTTGGAACTGGGCGCTTGCGGCCACCACGACGAACACGGACACGGTAGATAACGTATCCTTGCTTGGCCTTGTAACCGAGACGGCGGGCCTTGTCTGGGCGGGATGGACGAGAAGCACGGTGAACGACGTTCAATTGTCGGAGCTATATTATGCACTCTCAGCTAAGTTCAACGAGTGTATAGCAGAGACATCAAAGATGTCCACAATATTCCAATTTGCTTGTCCGAAGACCAAATTTTCGAATAATTGAAGTCGATCGAGATCGTCTCTTGGGGTCGTTTTTATCTTACCTCCCAGCATCGGACACGGAGAAGGAATCGAAGCACATCAGATTGCTTCTTCTTCTGAATTTCCTCGAGATATTTAAGAGCACCCATCTGTTTGCGGAGAATCAACGTTAGCAAAGTTCCATGTAAGAACCATCAAAATCGAATTGGTGGTAGAGCTGCGACGCAAAATCGAAGAAATCCAATTCCGATGAACATCTGCAATTCTAGAAATATATTCCTCGTCGCAGATGGTTTATCTGAAATCTGTATTCCAACGAACTCGATTTACTAACCTTGATTGATTTTGGGAGTTGTCGGCGGCGTCGATTGTCGTGTTGTCTAAAAGGAAAAAGTTCTTGAGAATCAATTTTGTGAAAATCAATGTGCGATTTTTTAGCGCGTTCGGGTAAATTTTCCTTCAAGCCTGAGGCAACACACCAAAATTTCCCCACTTCATTATCCACCAGCCGGCCCCTCCTCGAGCTCTCCACTCCAACGTCCAGTAAGACACAAAACCCGTGATCCCAAAAATATATCCTCAACTTGGAATTAAAAGAAGTCAGATAGTCAATCATTATCCTGAATTGAAACTTCTATAGATATACTCGGGAGCTTCTAGTTTACAACAAAATATACATTGCTAGCATACAAATCTATCTACAACCTTACTGATTGCATCCGCACATTGGAATACATAAGTTCTCAATGCATAATCTACTATGTATCTGAGTGATTTGGCGTATCTTCTACAAATAGTTCTCCCCGGAGCATCTTACCTGCTTATCCACCCTACACTCCCGAAGAGAATTCCAAAAGGTACTATCAAATCTTCCCTCTCCACAATCTCACAGCACTCAAGTAGTAACGAGGTAACCTCATATAGATACCCACCCACAAGATTCCCCTCCATCTCAGTTCATATTCAATTCTCTCCCCATCCACTCCAAACATTCTCCTTCATGCATCTCCATTTCCATCTCCATCCCAATCCCATCTCCATCTTCATCACCATCCCAATCCCATCTCCATCTCCATCCCATCCCATCCCATCCCATCCCATCCCATCCCATCCCATCCCATCCCATCCCATCCCATCCCATCCCATCCCATCCCATCCCATCCCATCCCATCCCATCCCATCCCATCCCATCCCATCCCAATCCCCCCCTCCCCCTCTCACCTCAAACCAACACTCTCTCCTATAAATCATAACCTCCCTCTCTCTAAACCCTCATCTCATTTAACAAACCAATCTACCACATCGTACCCCCCACCCTGAAAAGTATATTCCTCGAGTAAATTTCGCTTAAACTTCTTCATTATATTATCCCCAGGATATCATCAGGCCTAAAGTAGCATTCCTTACAACAGGTAAGTAGGTATTCACCTCAATTCTCTTCATTCGCGTCCATGTCATACTCAGCAAAGTTCGCTAGGTCATACGTACACATTCATCTTATAGCTACTATGTGATAGTATCTCCAAGACGAGAGAAGACAGGATAGTATACATGCTACAATACAGCTCCATGCCCCAACAGCCAAGTAGCGAAGTCTGAAAAGACATCAAGCAAATTTATAAATCCCCCATCTCATTCTGATCCCTAACCCTCCTCTCACCACCACTCAACTCCTGCTTTCAAAAGCCTTGAGCAATTTCTTATGAGCCCTCTCATGTTTCCTCGCCTCTTTGCCCCAGCCAGTACTACTTTCCTCTTCAACAGCTGGGTAGAATTTCTTCGAAACTTCAAGTGCCTCTGTCTCCAAGATCTCCGGCTTTGAAGCATTCACAATACACTCAAATTTATTCAGCCCAACCATTTTCCCCAGTTCAAGCATCGTAGCAATCTCTCCATCCTCTTTGCTCCACTCGTTACCAAATAATCCTGCCAACTCTTTTGCGATATCCTTCCTTGTCAGGTTATCAAATTGCGAACTCAACTCCAACGCCCGTGTAATCATGATTCGACCTTTTTTATGATTTAAAGAAAAATCATAAGAGACAGTTTTGAATGGTGCCGACAAAGAATAAGCAGCATGAAAGCCTTCCAGGAAGTCCTTATTTTCAACCGAACTAGACGAGTCAGTGTGCAATTCAAATTCTTAGCCAGGAAAGGTATACTCACGCTTCTCTCTCCAACTCTGCCGCCGATTCCTTGAAGTCTTTCACATCTCTCTCCACGGCCCCAATAAACTTCTCCATAAACTGCGCTTTCGCTCTCTCGGCGCTCTTCTTTTTCTTCCTCTCAAGATTGTCGAGCTCCAGAAACTCACTTTGTTGAATCAAGTCAGTGCACACTCTGCAAACAAATAAACATCCCAAACACTCCACATACTTGCTAGCCTCTTGTCCCGAATCCTCATCCTCATCCTCATCCCCATCCCCATCATCCTCATCCTCATCATCATCTTCCCTCTCTCCCAATTCCCTTCCCCCAATCCTCGCAGGCTCCGACATTCTTCCCCTTTTCTTCTCCTTCTTCTTCTCCTTCCCATCTCTCCTCAAACTCTTCTTATCAACCTGATCCGCAACACCACCAACATCCTTTTTCTCCCTACCATCCCTCCTCACCCCCTTCCTATCAACCCAATCCGCAACCGCATCAAACCCCTCCTCTCGCTCCTCGCCCTCCAATCCACTTCTATATTCACCACTCTTTCTCGCCTTCAACCTCGAATTCGGTAAATCTCCTTCACACGCCACAAATCTCCAAGTTAGACAATTCCACATCCAATCCTCAAAGAAAACAACAACAAAAACAAAAACAAAAACAAAGATGCCAGAATAAAAAATACCAAGCATACAGAACTCAACAATCAACTCACCTTCAGACTTGCGTTTTGATTTGCGCACCATTGTAGTAATATATATATATATACCTAGTAGGAATGTGAAAGAAGTCCAATATCGTCCAAACGAATTCGAATCACAGGAGACTCAATCCAGATACTAGGTAAAGAAACGAAAGATAAACTCAGACAAGAGACAATCAATATCTAGGGAGTAGGTAGGTATTCAAGCATACACCAATCAATCAATCAATCACTCCCAAATACAAAAATAAATTTCTTAATGACTTCAAGATCGATGTCAAAGTCAAAGTAAAAGTAAAAGTAAAAGTAAAAGATGAAAGTGAAAGTGAAAGAGACACAAAGTGGGTCCGGTCCGCCTCCTCCCCGCTCGCGAAACTTCCACCTCACCTCACCTCACCTCACCTCACTTCCTTCCTTCCTTCCTTCCTTCCTTCCTTCCTTCCTTCCTTCCTTCCTTCCTTCCTTCCTTCCTTCCTTCCTTCCTTCCTTCCTTCCTTCCTTCCTTCCTTCCTTCCCGGAAAGAAAGTAACCGAAAACCCCGCAAAGAGAAGGTCAGACAGACCTCTTAAGAAAAGAAAAAGGAAAAGCTCTTTTGTTTCCCCCCCCCCCCCCCCCCCAAAAAAATAACTGGCGCAACCATCAATCAATTATACTTACTTACTGTACGTAAAAAAAAAACCAAAAAAAACACCCCCAAAATCTCCATCCGAAAATCAGACCAGCAAAACCTTGCCGCCCCTCATTGGGGGCGGGAGGAAACCCCCCATGATTCGGGGGGGTTTTTTAGAGGACCCGGTGTGACACTCCTAACCGCTACACCACGAGGTGCCGGTATGCGCTACTCTTTCGATTTGGCGTGTTTGTCGATGGGAAGGGATGCGTATTTGGGTTTATGAAGGAGAGAGGTTGTAAGTTTGAGGAATGGGCCATAAGGATTATTGCTGGCTGCTTATGTATTTTCGTTTAACCTGCTCATCTGTGCTATTGTCATCACAAGTATACATATCATATCACATCACACATTGACCACTTCGATTCAAAATAAATAGCCCAGTGTATGAATTCCATTCTTGCTACCGATTCCCTTATCCATAACCCTAATGCCTTTAAACATGCATCAAAACGTTTCCATTCCATCTCATCGACGATTCGATTCTCCGCCTCCTTGATTCGTAGAAGAACAAAAAAAGACACAAAAAGGTAACAAATTGGGCCAGAAAAAGAATCAAAAACCACAAAGCAATGAAAAAAAAACATGTATCCATGCATCCATTATCCTTTGCAAATTTACCCAATTTCTTTTTTTCCCCACTTGACACCGCCGTATTTTGAAAGATCTGTCTATCAATGGAGTTCTTGAAAATTGTTGTTTTTTTACTCGTTAAGTCGTGGTAAGGCGTCAGGGTCCCGAAGACGCAAAGGTGCAGTCCCCCTGACAAACTGTGGAACAAAAATGGTATCGACGAATTGAAGAAGTAGAAAAGTATGTCCAGTGTGTTGTGTACGAATCCGATGCCTGTCTCCGATTATGTAGTAAATCCAGAAGAATCCCCATTCCGAATGAAACCTTCTCAATTAACCTCTATGATCAAATTGCAATAAAAGTGTAGTATTCCAGAAGACGTTATTCCAGTATGTCTTCATAGTATTTAGTATCTCCCAACCCATAGAAACAATGTGTTGCCTGGTGCAACGCAATGTGAAAATGAAATAAACGAATGTGTAGATAGTATGTTCATCTAGAACATGTAGAGAATTATGAAACAGGGCCGACGAGGAAGGGCATCTGTGGTATATTACAACAGAAAAATGTATCTAGTCTCCGGTTCTGTAGGAGTGTGCCGATGATAACTCACCATCTGGAAATGAAAGAAGAAATCAAAACCAGAGGCAAGAGTTATGACTGTTATGAACTTGCTTATGATTTGCCAAAGGAACGGGTCGAAATCGTGGGTATGTTCTAATGGAACCCCACATTTAACGAGTTCCCATAGACAAGCCCTGGAAAGCTCCGATCCAACCATCAGATTGACCAACAAGTCCAGTCTGTCGACCGTATTCGCTACCATCATGAGTTGGGGTAGTGCCATGAGGAGAGGGGAATCGTCCAGGTGCTTGATAGTCCGCTGTATTTGCAAATCCAGAATATGGGTCAAGCATTGAAGTACCATAAGCGCTCGTAGCACCGACATTTCTAGTAGAACCAAATGGAGAATATCCATAAGTATATCCTTGAGGCTGAAAGCCAGGAGCAGCTGCAGAACTTCTGTCCATAGCTGGCTGAAACGGTTGTGCAAAGACACCTTGATAACCTCGGCCTGCTTGCGTTGTGTTGTATGTTTGTGGCTGCTCGGCCTGTTGTGGTCGACGCTCACTTTGTGTAGTTCTATTTACACCTACAGCTCCAGGTCCGATACCGCTTGGTGCTTGCAAGCCAAGTGCGGGACTTGCGAAAGAAGCAGGATTGATCGCGGACATCCAAATTCTTGTCTTGTATACTTTGAACAAGTCCGTAACGAGGGAATTGAAGTTGATATAGGCATCAGCGAAATAATAAAACGTGAGCTTCTTCCAATCCCTAAATTTGAGTGTAAGCTTATGTCATCGGAATAGCTGGTGCGATCATTAGTTGACTTACATCTGAAATTCGGCATCTAGAATCTCCATGTGTAGACCATGCTCTTTCACCTTCTGCGTACAAACACGCTTGGCCTTTGCTTCATTTCCTTCCTTATCACGCAAGGCTTGAATTTCATGGTTTTGAGCAAGGCGCTTGATGATCTTGGGCTTGATCTCTCCTGGGTTGGGTTCCTGCATGCCGTGCTGACTTGGTGGGCCCATACCGCCTACAGCACTTCCCTGCATGCCATTCGCAGCAGCCATTAAACCAGCACCAGTTCCATCAGTATTGCCTACAGCACCCTGAGAGTACATCATGAGCCACTTATAGTGCTCTTCGGCATAATGCTCTTTGAGTTCCTTGGCAGTAGCCCAGTCCACGTTATCCTTAGCAACGGTGCCGAGATCGGTTCCTCGATCAGCTTCAACAATCACAAGATCTCCAGGCTTGACAGAGAGACCAGTGCCCTCTTGAACATAAAATACATCTGCGCGCGAACATTTGAATAACACAATATACAATAGTTGATTGTGTCGAGGTTGTGGAACGCCATACATGCTTCGATGAGGTGATGCAGGGCGGCCAGTAGAGTATTGATTGACATTTCCGTAAGGGTATGCAGAAGGATTGAACGGGGAAGGACCCGGTTGAGTAAGATTTCCGAAGTATGAAGCTGCTGCATTCAGTTAGTATAAGGATGTCATTCATGCCTGTCTACAGCTCAGACACTCAAGGGATTTATGAATATTGCTTACCATGGTCATTAGTAGAGTAGCCATTATTTTCATTATACCGACCCGCATTTGACGACAGGCTCTCGTGGATAGATGCATCGAGTTCACCAATCGTCGAGCTAACAGAACCTTGTCGAGCAGGTATATCAGCGAAAGAGTGGCGCCTGCTCTGCGGGATATCGGACAATCCACCGAATCCGAGTGAGCTTTGCCAATAGGCCTTCTTCACATTCTCCAACTTTCTATTTTCAAGAGTGTACGGCGAGGCTCTCTGGGCGCCAGCAATACCATACTCGCTCATTCTTCGACCTAACATCGCTTTGGATGGATCTTGTAAATCATTGAGCTCATCAAGTTCGTCAATTGCATAATCTGACTCTTCAGGTAGAGGCTCTTCCTGCAAGCCATAACCGTTGCCAAGGCCAAAGGGATTGGAGGTTGAAGATCGTGGTCGGAGGCGCAGATTCTGATATTGTTGCTGTTGTCGTAACATTGCATTTTCTTTAGCTAATAATTCTATAGTCTTGGCTTCTTGAGATTGAATTTGAACACCATGCGAAGAACTGTTAGTACTCTCATCGTCATCATCCTCGACTTCCTTGACTTTTCCAAGACCGCCCTCGGTCATTTCGCTCAACATACTTGGCCGGGATGGTCGATGTTGCAATGCGGAATGTCCAATTCTATGTCCCCGACTAGAAGCCGCTGGAACGGCTGCTGGCGGTGGGCCAGCACTTGTATCTGGGTCGAGCTGACCGACGGAGTACGATTGGGATCTGTATGTCTTAGGAGTGGGATGGAGAGGGATTGCGAATGGGATGGGTTGGTTCGCTGAGGGGTCTCGTTGACTCATCATTTCATTAGGAAAGTATCCATTGCCAGCTGAGCCCGGTGGATGCATAGAAGTTGGAGATGGTAATACTTCAGTCAATCTAGAGGGTGGCTCTTTACGCGACTCGCTGTTCCAAATAGCACTACCCCAAGGGAATGAGCTCGTGCTCGTATGTCCACGACCTGCTGCTGCTTGGGCATGAGAACCCCAAACGTTGGACTCAGTCGAGGGTGTACTGGGATGTGAAGCTGTTGGAGACATGCTACTACTTGCGAACGAGCCCTTTCGTGGCTGAGTTCCAGCTTGAGGTGTGTCGTTCAACCATGAGGCACGACGTGCAGGTGGCTTTTGAGGTGGATTAACTGGCTGTTGAATGTCCTGTCTGTCAGGTTCATCATCGGAGCTTGCCAAAGCCTCCGAATCTGGTGTTGAGCGGCGCTCATTGAATTTGCCAAGGAGGAGGGAAGGATTACTTGATGTCATGGATGAAGGATTGGATTGGTTAGCCTTGCCACCGGCTCCGATCTTATTATTGCTTGAACTCATGGTGACTGACTAGAAACTGTTAGTTCTCTGTAGAGAGACGAGAAGAAAGCTGCTCTAAATTGAGATCTAAAGTAAAAAAAAAAATGTCTTATGTAGAACTTGGGCTACTGCAACTTGCAAAGGCTGTCCTTAAATATTCAAAATTGGGAGCCGTATACTCAAGTGAGCAGGGGAGTGAGCAAGTGAATCATATTGAAAAAGAGGGGTTATCACAACACAAAGAAAGCCACAGGAAAGAATCCCAGCAGCTTCTCATGCAGTCAATCTAGAATTGAATATGCGCAATAGATCGCAACCAAAACAAAAGACTA